TTTTCTTACCTCGTCTCTATATACAAACCATTTGATATCATATCACTGATCTCATCCCCATTCACGACGTCGTTTCCCAAATTATGGAAACTATTTGTTATCACTTATCACTGAGAAGCCGTTTGTTTTGTCATCTGGAAACGGATTCGGAAACAGATTCGAATAATAAGGGATTGGATTCAAATAATCGTGGATTTGTTGAATCCAAATAATATGTTTGGTTGAAGATATGGATTGCTATTATTATAATATTAAAAAGAAAAAGAAAATTTTCTCCTTCTTCCTCTTCTCCTACGGGTCTACTTCTCTCCTTTCCCACACAAACGCCGGCTACCATTTTCTCCAACCACCACCACTATCAAACTTCGCCTCTGTTTCTCTCCTTTCCACCCAAACGCCGCCAACCAGATCCCCCATAAAAAATCACCACCACCACTCTCCATTTTTTCCTCTCCTTCTCACCAAAATGGGATTTTTCTAACTTTTACTCTCTCCTCATGTTCCTTCCTCCAACCAAATCAGCCCCATCAATCCAATTATCCACCCAGCTTCTCCACTAATAGCCACCATAACTGAAACCTTTTTTTTTCTTTTCTAGAAACTAAACCCAAACTGGGGATCAGAATTCAATAAAGGAAGAAGAATCCCAACCTGAAATTGTAACAGATTAACATTGAAATTGATACATCAAACAATAACAATAACAGATTCATTCGTAAGTACCAATAATCGTTGTTAGATTTCATCGGAACGAATCCTTGTTTGGGTTTGATTTTTTTTTTTTTTGTAATTTTGAGAGAGAAATCAGTTGTTCTTTTAGTTATTTTGTTCATTGAAAGAAGTTTGATGTTGACAGTGGGGGTATATCTCTATTTTATGGAGGTAATGGTTGATTTTTTGGGGTTAATGTTGGCAGTGAGAGGTGGTGATGTGGTGGTGGGAGATGGTGATGCGGCGGAGAAACAAGGGAGGATAGAAGGAGGAGGAAGGAGTTATTTTTTATTTTTATTTTTTTTCGAGAAACTGAATCCATGGATTCAACAATTGAATCAAGAGGGGGAGGTGGGAATGAAAATTCCAATCCAAATCCAAAGGATTGAATCCAAATTCTGTAAACCAAACAAGAAAATGAATTTTGAATCCGAATCCTGATTCCGAATTCCAGCAAACAAACGGCTCCTGATCTCATTCTCATTCCCAACATTATATCTCCACCTCATCGTCTATCAACCTATTTATCTCCCAAATCTGTAATGATTTTTTTCTTTTTTTTTTCTTTTTTTTTTACTTTTAATAGCAACGCTTGTTACATGTACATCTTTTTTATTGGATAATTGTTAGTATTCCCTTTTTGAATCTTATTCTCACCGTCTAACAAAAATAATCGTAATCAAACAAATTATTAATTTAGAATGGAAAACATATATATTTTTTTTTTTAAAAAAATAGATTTATCAGGTATATTATTTTTACCCTGAGAGGGTGGTCTGTTGTAATTTCTGAAAGCATTTATATAAAAACTAGATTTGTTCTCGTCACGCTACGCGCAACCAATTTGAGTCATGTCAATATGAATTCACTTCAAATGGTCACGTTGTCATATGGTTTAATAAAATTCTAATAATAATTACTATGTGACGGGGGAAACACGATTCATCAGCACTGCCATGTGTTTCCTGGACGGCGGATTGCTTGCATTGCCACCATCAGAAGCCCAACCAAACTATGATCGCCATTTGTTTGTTGGACGCTGGATCTACACCATCGCCACTATCGGGAACCCAAAAAAAAAATCATGATCAGTTCTTCTTTCCTTTCAAGAGATTGACCGTCGCCACCATTGTGTAACAATGGAATTTCGAACCCAAGAAAATAATTGAATTTCGAAGGGATGGGAAAATGGAGGTGATAGAAGATTATATTGACATTTGGAGCGGGAAAGATTTTTGGGGAAAGAATGGATGAAGCCTGCCACATTAATTAGATTATTTCTCTAAAAAAACGACATTTTAATTAGTAATATTGGATAGTATGTGATCGTTTAACATGCCACATTAATTAGATTATTTCTCTGGGCTAATGACATATATTATTTGGTTGGTAAAAAAGAAAAATAATTTTATTAATTGATAATTGTAACCTTATTTTAAATTGCTGATGTCATGTTAATATATTAACCAATCAAATTTCTTAATTTAAAATTGATGATGTCATGTGAACTAATGGCCCAATTAGAATGCTTATTTAATTTCTGACAAATCACGTTCAAGATTCTAAACTCACCAAGAGATATTTACTTATGCACACAAGAAGAGAAAAATAAAATATTGGAAGGCTCACATAGGCAATTTAATAGAGAAGCATAACTATGTTCTAAATTTTGATATACAAATTATATCCTGATGATCAGTTTGAATACTTTTATTAGAGCTAAACAGCTGGAAGAGCTCGAATGTCGTGGCCTATGAATATGTGTCAAATTGTGGTCTCAAAAGAAATCTTTTGATATTGTTCATGTTTCGAAAACATAATACTAATAACCTTATTGTTCATGTAATGATTAATTTTAATATAATCTGGTTTAAATGATTATAAACAAAATGACGCATTATCGTAATTCTTCAGATTTTCGTCTACGCATTCCGAGGATACAAAGAAGAACAAACAAAAATGAACAAGAAGATGAGGAGAGTTTATAGTGATAAATTAACCAAACAGTACTCCCAATAATTACGTACCCAATATTCATAGACAATATTAAATGGGGCAAAAAAAATATTGAAAAAGTTTGCCTGAAGGTTAATTAGAAGTATTGTGTCAACAAGAATTTTAATAATTGCTATTAACCCTGAGAGGGACCAATAAATAATTAAAAAAACCTCAAAAATATATATATAATTCTTTCATGTACAATACTATTTCTTCTGATCTTAAATTGTATTTTATAATAAGATTTAACACCAAAGGATGTCCCTCCCTGATAATTCTAATAGTTCGAGTTTCGGTTTTTTTTTTTTTATAATGTGTGTGTGTGTGTGTCATGGTTCTTTGTTCTTGTTAATTCAATTATTACTTTTCAGTATGTTTATCACGAAATTTGAGATACTATTTTTTAAATTAATTATATTTTTTCCACCTAAAAGATAGTACGTACAAATAATAAATATATAAAAAGATTTTGAGACGAATTTCGTAGTATAGATTGCACATGCCATATCGTGCAGCTGCAAAAGACGTGAAATAAAAATTAAAAAAGCATTTTTTTTTTTGCATTATGTTGTGATTCGAAGCTGCCGTGCCGTCCGTCCCACATTTCCCAACTCCTCACACTCTCCGCCAACTGTCCAAACTGCATTTCCACACAATATCACCTTTCATTCTCACATCCAATTTAGAGTACTCTACTAGTATAATTAAAATAATGAATGGGAGTAATTAATTTAGTACATTGTTTTTTCTTTAGTGTTCAAATACATATTCCAAATATAATTAATTATTTACATTTTTGAAGATCACTACTTGATTATATGCTTACTTTTGAATTCCTAATGCATGGCACCATCGATCATGTTGTCATATTTTTTCGGAGTTTAGAAAAATAGTTTGTACCCCGACTTAGTTTTCATTTTCAACTCATTTTGACTCTTAAACACAAAACCTAATTAAAAACAAACTGACGTCCAAATAACTTTCTGATTTACATTTTAAAATCAAACTTACAACATTTTGTTAGTGTAATGATCATTTTCTAGAATTAAAAATAGTTCAGTGACTAAATCCAAAACTTTGCACATTTATTTCAATTTGCCTCTGGTCAAAAAACACTTTCTACAATTGATGGTGGTTAGAAAAAAATTTTTTATTGTTTAGTGATATTTTTTGTACTTGATATTTCAATAAATATTTTAAAAAAACTTTTTCTAAACCACCATCCAAACAATTTTTTGCGAAAATACTATCCAAATAAATTTTTCATTTTTCACTAGGTTTTCCACTTAAAACACATTCCACTTCCAAGTCAAAAATGAAAACTAAGATGACGTCCAAAACAAGCACAAATTATTGTTTTGGTTTCATTTTGAAAAAGAAAAAATATTAATCGGATGAGTTAAAATATTGTTAGTACATTAAACATAAGTGCACAGAATTAACACATGAGCTTATCCTCTCCTAGTTTCTGTTTTTGTTTGGTCTAAGCATTTCAAATTCTCGTTTCTAATTTTGACACTTAAACTATTTTGCATATCAGTTTAAACAGCATACTATTTCATCGATTAAATGTTTTTATATTCAAATGAAGAAACTTTATTAACGTGCTCACTTTTTACTCTCGATTTGTCTTCTACATTCAACTATCAAATACATTGCATTTGAAAAGAGAGAAGTAATAATAGTAAAGTTACAGAAAAAAAAAAAATAATATTCTCTTCCTCTTTAAAACATAGTCTACATTATAATTTACGAATTGTGTCATTTTTAATAGAAAAGAGGAAGTACTAATGTTGAAGAGTGAATAAAAATTAGTAATATGATATAATATCAAAAAAAAAAATAAAAAATTACCTAACTAAGAAAAACTAAAAAAAAACGGGCAAAAGTATGTGTAACTCCCTTTGACTGGCAATCACAAATGGAAATTGGTAATGAAAACTGAGTTTAATTGTATGAAAATAGTTTCATCACTTAGCAAATCATTTTGACTTCCTGCATAAGAAAGGGTAAAAATTAATAGTAACATTAAGTAGACTTGAGATTTAGTGAATCCACCAGTTTTGTTAAAAGTAGTCCAAGTTTTAAATATACTCAAATTTACCACCTCAACTTTTTCATTTATACTTCATAGGAGTTTTGTAATTAAAGCTATGAAATACTACGTTGATTACATTTGTCAAAGTCAAACCCTAAATTAAAACAAAGAGTGAGTAGTAAAGCAAAGTAAATAAAGTAAACAATAATACTTACAACTTACGGAGTAGTATTAATTAGTTAATAATCCTCTTTCTCTCTCACGCACTCACACACTAAAAAAACTCCTCTCCTGTTCTTTTTCCTCTACTTACGTACACACACATTCAACATTCTCTTCTTTTCTGATTTTTCTCTATAAAAATTCACACCATTATTATTGCTGTACTTCCCCCCTTTTCCCCTGTTAATCAAATATACACTGACCCAAGATTCAATTTGCATTTTATAACCACACTGTTAAATTTTTCTATACATTTTTTTATATATATACACACTGTTAAATTTGCATTTTATAGCTGGCTGTTTTGTCAAGTGTTTGTGTGTGTTTGAACATCTATCTCAAAGCCCATCTATCAATTCAGTCGTTTTCTTTTCCTGGTTGCTAGTTTAACGGTACTTGCTCGATTTTAAGCTTATAATTTTGCATATTCCTTTTGTTTTTGTCATGTGGGCCAATTTGATTTCCGGGTTTTAGACTGAATTTAGGATCTGTTTTGTGCTTAATTCGTCATCTGATCAAAATGTGAGTGGGTTTTTTCGGATTTAGATCTGGTGCTGGTACTGTTAATTTGTACTGTGAGGTTATCGGAAACTTTTTGATTTGGGGGCAGTTTTGGATCTATACGGATACCATGCAACAGTACTGTGCCATTGATCTGGGAAAAAAATTGTTTTTAGCTGATTTATTGTTGATTTAAAGAAGAATTTGGGAAGGACCAAGGGTTTCCTTGATTTGGAGTCTAATTTTCTTTTGCCTGTCTGTGATATGTGGAGGACTTGATTATCGTTTTTGTTTGCTGTCAGTGTGAAATGTTTGTTGTAGTTGTTAACTGTAGATCAGTTGCAACTGAGACTTCTATTTCATTTTCTTACAAGAGAAAGGAAGAATTTCTATGGAATTCATTAGTTTTGGGTATTAAAATGTTATGGCAATAAGATCACAGTCTATAACTGTGTGGGATTTTAATATTTGGCTAATTAGTTTGAGTTCTTCACCTAATTCCTCCAGGTGGGCCAGCTGGGAAACAAACAATTTTCTGAATTTTAATGCGGAAAATTGGGGGATTCTTTCTGGTGCTCGAGGGTTAGTCTTTCTCGTGTCACCAGCTTTTGCAACGGATCGAAAGGACAATGGCGCCATCTAGCAAGGCAGATAAGAAAGCTGCAGTTGATGCTGCAGCATGGATGTTCAATGTAGTTACTTCTGTTGGGATCATTATCGTCAATAAAGCCTTGATGGCTACTTATGGATTCAGTTTTGGTAAATTTCTTCGCTTCAATATCTTTCTTATCATGCTGTCTGGCTTTGTCCTTGTTGAAGTCTCTGTATTAATTGACTCACAAATATTATGGTCATGAAATTCTATTTCAATTGCTTGGCTCTCCTCTCTAGGAAACCTGTGATCTATGTTTAGTTGGATATAGACTCAATTTAACTGGTTTGCTATTAAATTGCTTTGTGATTTATGCTTTCATCATTGAAGGAAATCATCACGCGGAAATTATATTTTTAAGTAACATACTGACGACACAATAGGAAATTTATATATCATCTTGGTCTTGTTCGACTAAATACTTTCTACTGGAAATGATGACATATATTCTAGGTCATATTTGAAGTGTAACAAAGGTTATACATTAGCTGGTCCTATTTTTTTGTGGCTTTCAACCTTTCTTTAATGAAGTTATCCTAACTCCTACTCACTACAATCCTTGCAGCTACAACTCTAACCGGTATGCATTTTGCGACCACAACATTAATGACGGCTGTTCTTAGGTGGCTGGGTTACATCCAGGCTTCTCATCTACCTTTATCAGAGCTTATTAAGTTTGTCATATTTGCAAATTTCTCTATTGTCGGGATGAATGTCAGCTTGATGTGGAACTCAGTTGGATTTTATCAGGTAATATGCTTGTCAAATTTTTCCAGATGTATTCTTTACTACGTTATAGCCAAATATTCAAGGTTACCATCAATAGTTATGTGCCTGACAAATGATAATCATTTTCAGATAGCGAAGCTGAGCATGATTCCTGTATCCTGCTTATTGGAAGTCGTATTTGACAAAATTCGATATTCGAGAGATACAAAGCTCAGTATTGCCATCGTTCTCCTTGGTGTTGGTGTTTGCACTGTCACTGATGTGAGTGTGAACACCAAAGGGTTTGTTGCCGCCTTTATTGCAGTTTGGAGTACTGCTCTGCAACAATATGTAAGTTGTCTGTTTCTCTGCTCTGTCAAATTTACATACTGTTTACATTATTTTATACTTTCTGGTTATCCTGATCAAGTAGTTATGTTAATGGTGACATTACCAATCATCTGCTTAATAATGTTGAATATTGCCATCTCCTTTTAGTTTACTCCTCCGTGAGGATCTCCCATTAGTTGGTATGATCGAGTGATGCACACATCAGACCTAGTACCCAATCTCATCAGTCCTGCTTAATAATGGAAAAATATGTTTTTACTGAAATAAAATTTGTTAACTATTTAAACTCTATACTTCGCAACTATTTAGTTCCCATGTTCCCTCTGAAATACCGTAACATGGTTATTGGGCAGCTGAATTCCATGAGTTTTTTTTTTTTTTTTTGTGTGAGTTCATTAAATATATAGAATCCTCCAAGAAACTAAGATTTGAAGTTTCTACCTGCAGTATGTACACTTCCTCCAACGGAAATACTCCCTTAGTTCATTCAATCTTCTAGGACACACAGCACCTGCCCAGGCTGCATCATTACTTCTGCTCGGTCCTTTTCTGGATTATTGGTTGACAAACAAGAGGATCGATAGTTTCGAATTCAACTTGCCTTCTTCGGTAAGATCTTTGGCGACTTATTGCTTGTGTGAGAATATGATATTTCAAATATGTGCTGTAAACCTTCCTTGCATTGTTTTCCATTATATTAATTTGCACTACTGTACTTATCCTAGATTTTGCTCTGCTTAGTAGTGTGTGAAAATGGTGATTGCATGCTGAAATTACTTTCTGTGATGATAATTAAGCTATTTGGCTTTTACAAATATACGCTCATTCGTGTCTACAACATGTCATATCTAAACATTACAATTTGAATTGGTTGTTGAGTGTTATGTCGGCCCAACCCTTTCCTTGTGAAACCTGCTCTTCCTTTTGAGCTTGATGTTTTCTGGTCCATGTCTTAGTCAGAAAGGTATTATCTTCTGGCTTGTGAACTAACATGTGCAACTATGGTTTCTTAGGCGTTTGCCAATTATCTCACCAGATAGGATTGCATTGTAACTGAGGGTGACTTTATTTTTGTTGTCCGTTCCAGTTGGACAGAAATGATTTCTCACCATATTTTCTCTCATCATCTCTTTTACTCTTCAGGTGTTTTTATTCCTCTCTTGCACAATTGCAGTGGGAACAAATCTCAGCCAATTTATCTGCATCGGCAGATTTACTGCTGTCTCATTCCAGGTCCTTGGGCATATGAAAACGATTCTTGTTCTGATACTAGGATTCATATTTTTTGGAAGAGAGGGTCTCAATTTACATGTGGTTGTTGGCATGATCATCGCTGTCATTGGAATGGTTTGGTACGGCAATGCTTCTTCTAAACCAGGGGGCAAAGAACGCCATTCAGTTCCTCGAGGTAGTCAGCAGAAGCATGGTTCAGAGTCTTCTGAAGCTGATGAGAAAGTCTAAGGAAGTTTTCTCCTCAACCTGCAAAATCTGAGTATACAAAGAATAGCCAGCCAATACCAACAAATTTTTTCAGTCATCTGACTCTAGATACACACATCTCAAATCATTTACTGTTTGGTGTCCATCTAAATTTTGTAATTGTTTATTTTCTTTGGTTGAAGATGGTAAGTCCCTGGAAGCTTCAAAGGGATAGTTTTTACTTGTTAGATTGCTTAGATTACACCCCACCCTGAGTTCTCCCGTTTAGATTCATAAGCATGTGTTCACAAGGAAAATGAACAAAGATTATTTATGAGCATAATTTATAGAAGAAAAAAAAAAAATTACTTTTTCATTCCTTTTGCTCTCTTTCGTAGCATTCTACAATCTGTACGAATATGTCGATGTAGATAGATAGTCTCCAATCGTCTTGATCCGTGTTGTAGAAAGCTTTGAAATATACCGTTATGCCCGTTGAATTAAAATAATACAATTCATATGTAACGTCAATGTTATTCAACTGAAATGAAACACACCTAAACTTAGTGGGTTTTCGCCTAACACAATGTTTATATTTCCTTGAGGAAATGAATGTATCCAATGATTGTACCATTGACTCTTAATCCCAGTTAAAGCCTAAGACAAACCCTAGTCAAAGGTTTAGTTCTTAATTTTTCCTTTCCTCCATTATGCATAGTAGAAAATATTTACTACCCGCTTAGAAATCATTTCTAGTAGTTGTCTTCATCGTAGAAATTGGATGACAACAATGATCTTTTTGTTCACATTAGAGACGAGCTAAATATAATTTCAGAAATATAATCCATTTCGTTATACTGATTTTAATTTAACCGGTTCTAAGACATGGAGTCTCTATACACTATACACTGTTAACAGTAAAAAAATAATACTACTTCCGTCTTAAAGAAAATAGTCCACATTGAATTTTCAAATTTATATTAAAAACAGTACAAAATTCAAAACTCAATGTTGATTATTTTTGTGGGACGGAGGAGGGAGTATGATTTTTCTTTGTGCTTTTTAGTTAAAATGACAACTAGTTAGGAGAGCAATGATTTTATTTTCCCGTAATATTTGATCATACTTAATAAAATTGAGATTTCCAAAAGAAAAGAGAAGGTCAAAGTAGCAATTTTCCTGGGGAAAAAAATACCACCAACATTTTGACGTTGTAATCCAAAATAAATAATCAAACTATGCACACTCATTTTTACCAGAATGATACTTCAATTTGGAGTATTACTTTCTAAAATTCAATTCATAAGATACAAATATGAATAAATTTAGCGTTAATTTATACTTTATAAATAAAAAATTTGATGGAAATATTATTTCTACAGACTCTGGTTGTTCATAAGAAATTTTGATTATTATTTTCACAATTCATGAAGAAAGGATGGCATTATTTTAAACATCCTCTCCATTTTAAGAAGATTGTCCCGGTTTATTGAACAGAATGTATTATTATTATTAATAAGATGTCAGATTGAATTTCAATAGAAATTGAAATCAGAACGCATAGCCTTCAAAAATGTAATTCTTTTTAAACCTAGGATCATGTCTATTAAAGTTATCTTGTCGACGAATTAGAATTATAATCCAATCTTGAACAGCAACCTAATCTTGTTCGACGAATAAGAATCCTACTCCAACGGAACTAGAAGGTAGATAATTAAGCATATCTTTAGAGAATGCAATGGAGTGGCTGACCTCTTAGCAAAAAATGTCTTAGTTCGACCTATGGGTTACATATTTTGGCAAACCTTACGAATGAAATATGTAGTAGTCTTTTGGTAGATAAGGCGGTAATTTACATATTTTGGCAAATCCTACGAATGAAATATGTAGTTGTCTTTTGGTAAATAGGGCGGTAACTCCTCTCCTGAGGAAGAATTTCCTTGTAAATCAACTTTAAACTTCCATCTTATATAAAAATTAAAAAAAAAGTTTATTAAAGTTGAAATAGAAAGAGAAAGCATCCAAATTAAGAATATATTTTTATATCAAAAAATTTAGAACATCATTTGTTGAAATAATAATTTATTATTGAATCAAGAGAATATGCCTGTTGCTAACAACCAACAACTTCAATTTCCTAAAAAAAAATTTCATATTTGCCAGCTTCCATTCAAACATACTACAGGATTTTAACTGAAATTTCAGCCGATCTACTAAAGTTTTAAATTAGCTGTTTCATTATGCTAGTTTCATTACTTGAACAGATTTTTGAACTAATTCTTGTGTTCATAAAAATATCTAAATTTACAAACCTTGAATAAATCTGATTCATTAACTCGCACTTTTTGTTTCCTTTTTATGTATGAGACAGCAAGCAAACATTTCAAAACCTAAAACTTCCCAAATGGATAAATCAAGTTGCACAATCTTTAACCTCATTCCGCCTGAGAAAATCATCATTTAAGAAAGGTTATTATACCATTACTAGTATCAAATCAAACAGGAGTCTCATACCGCAGTCAACATCGAAGTGAATTGCTGGTTTTCTGTGTTCTATAACCAAAAAAAAAAAAAAAAACTAATGAAAATATAAACTTTAGATTTAGATAGAAATCGTGCATCCCAACTCTTTGGCAGCAGTGTAAAGAAACTGCATAGACATTCCGGTAGCAAGGCGGCTATGAGCTTCCCATCTTAAACATTTTTCAATGTCGTTTTGCCAGTTGATGATGCCTACATTTAAATACTGATACGCAGCAGACTGATGGATGCCATTCTTCTCCCCGGTCTTCCCACCCGATTTTAATGAGCCGGAAAATAAAATAGCACGAAGAACAGATGTGCTAAGTGCCCGAACGTGAGCACTGGGATGAGAGAGACATCGAATCGTGGCTGGTAATCGACACTGCATGTATTACCCATTTTTTAAAATGTTACCAAGTGATGTAAAAATAACATTGATAGCTAAGTTTGAATTCAACCATATCCGTAAGCTTCAGATTTTTTGCCTTTTGGCAAATGCTTTTCTATTTTCCTTGAGGGAATAAGAATCTAATGTAGACAGAATCTCTTCAATAGGCTCGCTTCAGTAACAAAACATGAGGGCCGGTCCCATATTCATCATTTTACTAAGGTCTCAAAAGAAAATGTTGGGTCAGACTGTTTTGTTACCTTCAACAGGTTTGAGAGGCCATCGGCAACAGCTAACCCAGATTCTCCCCATTCAAGCATTGGTTGAACAGCTCTTGCTGTAGCTTCGAGCAGCTTTTGATTAAAAAAAAAGAAAAAATTCAGAATCAGTATCAAGTGGCTCTCATGTCAAGTAGTATACAAAGGATAAACCAAGACAACCTAGGTGAACAGATGAAAATGGAAATACAGGAAACTTAAAAATGTAGAATATTGAAGGGGAGGGACAACAAACACCAACTATTATGTTAAAAAAATTCGAAAGGTACAGACAGAAAACAAAATAAAATTCAAAGATTACCTCCAATTGTGGTAAAGTGCATGCTTCTCCATCAACAAGCATTCCGTCCGTGGCACGTAACAGCAGGTCTGAGGCGCTAGACAGAATTACCAGTGATTCTGGTTTATCATGATTTCGCATCAGCTCCACAATCACCTTGACAATTCGTTGATTGATTCTCCACATCTTCTGACCAAGATCATCATCTTTAGCAATCCAAGACTGCAATTCCCTGTCCGCCTGACAAGTAAACAAAGGCAAAAAAAAGTGACTAAACAATTGAAGACTGCAAATCACGATAAGATGAAAAGTGAGACTTCTTTTAATACTGATGTGGTCTGATGAAAATAGTACAAGGAAAAAGCTGCTGCTGAATGAATGTTGAGTACAGTTCAAGAAAACGAACATCAGAAGGAGATGTTTCTTAAATGTGTCTTAATCTTTCCTTCAAATGATTTAATTTGAGTAATATATATACGTGTGTGTGTGTGTGTGTGTGTGTCAATGATTTAGAGGAGGCTTAAACCCAATTAGAGAGAGCTTCAAGTAAAACAAATTCTGGACCTGGAGAACAACAGCTGTTGCTGCCTTTGCCGGTGATGCTGACACTACATTGCATAATGCATCAACCACCTGTGACAATTGAGAATTCAAGAAATATGTTAAACTCTTAAGTCGTGTCAACATAACCTGCTATCCGTAAATCTATAGCCATAACAATCTCTTCTAAAATATTCTACGAACATGTAATATGCACAACTAACACTTTAAGCATGAGGACTGGCAAATTCAATTCGGGGACAAAACCAAAGAGTACAAAGATGGGAAATATTTTGTGATCTTTAAATATCAGATACTGTTAAGATTACTACAACATACGATTCTGAAACCCAAAATGACTGCAAAGGGGAAAACCCATGTGACTATCAGCAGAGATGTGGTATTTTGACTGTATTTACAGACTAAGGAACCTGGAACATATCGATACCTATCAGCACCTGAAATAAGAACATCATATGGTGGCACTAGTACTAGGATGCCATGGTGTAAACTGCACAGGACTATTACCTGTCTCCATCCTTGCTGGGCAGAAGTGCTTTCTTCACATGGTTTAGTTTCAGGTGATGCAATCAACTTGTGCCAGAGCAAAGAAACGACAGAAAAACACAATTCTTGTTTCTCAGCCAACACTGACCTCAGAAGAACTTGGGCACTACAGTTGAATCCTATGTGCCGGTCCATTGTTAAAAAGTTGGCCAGGTCTGATGCATCCGTTGGAAAACTAGCAATTCCTTTGCCCATCATACACTTGGTGACATCACCTGTTATGTAATCCTTCTCAACCTCAACTGAGACCTTTGAATCAGAAGGATCCTCGCACAGTTCTTTAGAAGAAGCCTCCCCAGATCCCAAACACCCACAGCTAGAACATTTACCATATTCTTTTCCATGAAAACATGAAGAAGTTTCCTTCCATAAAGGTGCATGCATTAGATGTGCTTCCAATGGTTCTGCCTTAGTTACAATGGATGCAACAGTTTTACTGTGTATATCAATAAGATTAAAAAGAGAAGATGCCCTTGAGTGGATTTCACTGTCCCACTTACACTTCATCAGAATTGAAAGACCATGCATACAAGCCTTAGACCGCCTAAAGAGATCAGAAATATGAGCGGCCACCATAGCAGCAGCAACTATCTCATTTGAGCTGTAGCTCCAAGACGTGCCCACAGAAGATGGTTTCAAGGAGAAAAGTGCCTCTAGAATTGCCAATATCCTGCGAGTATGACATAATGCAGAGTCAACACTACCTCTTAACTCCGTGGATACTTCGCTTAAGTTTGCAGGCTTAGCCAAATCCTCCATGCTCTTGGGATCTGAACCATTAGTACCCTTAGAAATCAAAGGGAAAAGTTGAAGTTCACAAGACAGAGCACATACAGCAGCGAGGACATACGAATCAAATGCTGCCACGGGACCCTGCCTCTTCATTTTCTTATTTCCTATCTCTTTACTCTTCCCATTGAGTTGCAATTCTTCACTGGCTTCACCTGAACTATTATAAACGTCACCACCTTTTGGCTTCTTGTTTCCATTAGGCTGAGCTTCATGACTCATACATACTGTTAGCACCACAAAAAGAAGGCGAGAGGCAAGCTCCACCGAAGAACATGACTCCAAGAAAAGTGAATGAACCATTGTACGAAGCTCCGCGACGGCAAGATTTTTAGAGGCAGAGCCAAAGACATATCTTGTTTTTCTGATTTGTTCTCTTGTTGACTCAGGAGGAAATGTTCTGACAAGAATTGCTTCAACAGTGGCAACAAATATTTTCATTAGACACGTTTCAGAAGGGCTACCACGGGGTAGATATTCAAGAACTTTAAGCAAGGGAATGTACAAATTCCATGATAGAATTGGAGGTTGCAGAGGGGTTGCTACTATAAGTTCAGGAAGATCAACAGCAGACGAACTCAAAGGTATTAGCCCATATGCAGCTTCCCAAATTGTACATATTCTCCATTCAACCTCCGGACCATGGGAACAAAGCATGGACGCTATCCCTTGGGCAGTGGCCTCAACAGTAGCTTCTGCTGCGGGGATTTCTCTCTGATAGACCATGCAAGGTGTATAGAAATTCAACCATATATTTACCAAAATAAATAAATAAATGAATAGATAAAAATTAACAATGTGGCATTACAAATCAATTTTCAGAATTTGTAATCCAATTCTGAAAGAAACCAAAATGCAACTCGGGAAGTTTTTGGGCTAACCTGCTTTCTTGATGAGATGTAACCAACCATGGGTCCATGCTGAACTTCTACTCCTTCGACTTGTCTTAATGGAGGGAAGAGTAGAGCAGGTTGTGATAGGATACGGAAAAGTAACGCAGCTGCAGCATCAGCAGCAATTCCTGCCCTCATTGACATTGCAATCCCAATTGCCCGTAGGAAATGCAAATGCATCCAGTTCCTTGGTAGCTTCACCAAAAAAGTTATAAATGAGTAGTTTATGAGTACGAATGATACTTTTATCATCAAGTAGAAAATAAGGTCTTAGTCACTCAAACAGCAATATAATATAAATATAAACTTCTCCCTTTCAAAGGAAATATTAATAATCATGCAAGGCAAATGACATTTAAAAATTAAAAAAAAAAAAAAAAGTTGATTATAATGTAGTAGTAATTTTTGCATACAATTTCAGCAAGTACCTTATAACATATTTTTTACTATCACTGCACATCAACATAACCACTAAAGCAAATAGAGATCAATGTATGACCTATAAAGACAATATACTAGAGAAAGGGAAAAAGACAAAGCTACATCAAATACGAGATCAGAAATTATTGTATGCACAGTACATCACACAATTAAACGCAGAAATACAAGTTATGATGCCACCAAAATCCCAGAAAATCAACTCCTACAAGAGACTTCACCGAAAACTATCAACAGAAATCAAACTTAAAAAATGACACAAGGATTAAAATTGGATTCTACAGGATACACAAAGATACTCTAAGGGTTCAGAAAGGGTAATAGAAACAGTTGAAACTTCAATAGAGGCTGCAGCACTCGAAAGTACATTTTCAATGATTAAAAAAGGAAGACAATAAGATCCAAGAATCCTTTGGAAAAATTGAGTCCACTGACAGATTTAAGTCACCAAATCAACTTACCCGCATTCCGGTGGCATACTCTTCTGCTGCACGCAGGAGTTCGACCAGTTGAACAGCTGCATCAAGAGCATCAGGTGCCCATGATGGAGGAGCTTCTAGAAGTCCAAGAAGAAGTCTTTGAGTGGCATGTGGACTAGCAATTGCATAATATCTGACCCAGAAGAGGAAATTAACCCACATAACTTGTTTAGAATCAAAGTAAATATAAAATGCCATGCAAAATAATCGTGCTTGTTTAGAATCAGAGAAAGTAAACATCTAATCACCTGTGAAATAATCGTGCATATGGCTCAAGTGCTGGAAGTCCTGTGACAAGATGCTCATCCATAGCTGTAGTCGGTGGGGGCAGTAAAAGCGCAGGAACTGCAACAGCAGTCAAGGTTGCCGTCTCATAACGAGCTACTTCCTCATCGCAGACACTTAGTATCACGCCCGCACCATTGGCAACAGCCCACCTTGGAGTTGATGGCAGCAGTTGGGGATGCTTTCCAGAACCACGTGAAGAAACTGAAGCCAGATTACAATTTAAAAATAATCAATTTTTTATACCCAGCGGAAATGTTCTGGTGTACTATAAAGTTTAGCAGATAAGTCCCCTTGATTACAGTTAGACCTTTCAGGAGTTCCAAAATGTAAATCTAACTTACTACATAAATTGAATGTATGTAAACTACATTTGAGGAATAAGGAGATGCTAAAGCATTCTCCTGCTGTCTGCTGAAATTTACCATTGAATCAGAGTGTTGACAGTTGAATGGTGGCTTCTAAATCAAGAACCACTTAGAGAAAGGAACTTCATTAGTTTGTTAGGGGTATTCCGCAATAGGCTTTATTGAAAATTATTGGGTTATGGGCACTCTTCATACAGAGATTATCCATACTCTTGGTGAAAAGTTGTGCTTTTTTGGCAGCTCAAGTTGCACTTACAATTAAACAATTAGGGCTCAATTGGGACATAGGTACCACAGTTACCCACCCCCCAAAAAAAAAAAAGAATTTATGCACCTAATATTACTGATATAGAAATCAAAGAAACTTGAAAGGAATACCAATTCAGATATATAACCACTAGCGCCGACATACTTCTTAAAGTCAGGATATCAAATCTAACGAGGGACAGTAAATAGACTGATACCAAAGTTCGGATATGATGGCACATACAGTTAGTTCGAATGTAAGTGCTTAAACTGAATATGAACAATTCATATTGAAATAAATTTGAAACAGCAAAATATAGTCCGATATAATGGTTTAACAAATAAGAATATAGGCAACTATTCAATACAGAATCCTAATGCAGTTGAAATCAGAAAATGCCTTTGGTAAATTCACCAAAGATTCTGGAACAAATATATACCAAATGTAAAGTTCATTATGTTATATGTAATATTATAGATATTCGTCCCTTCTGATTGACCATTACCTCCTCATAGCTTAAACGGGTGAGTGATTACTGACAAACTAAGCTAATTAAAACCCTGGGCAACATTAATTACAATAATAGGTATATCAGAAAAACAAAGAGCTCAGAAAGCATCAGCTTAACCAGCTTGGATGTACAAGCAAGATCAAGTTAGTTGCATAAATCAGTTCGATGCATTTCAGCTTCTCAAACAGATAGGAGCCAAAATATCAAAGAATGTGACAGGTCTTTGACACTTAGTCATTTCATTAAGATACAGCTATATGAAATAATAATCACCTTTAAAAAAAGAAAACATACTTAAAACACACTAAGGCTACCATGTGTTACACTAGGAATTTCAACAAAAGTTATAGCTAAAAACCATAAAGCAGTATAGCATTTTCAGAATTTTCACAGCTAGCCACAAACTATTCAATGACCATCCACTCACCTGTTGAAGGTGGTTTGAGTTCTCCAGCTGCATACTTCCCCATAACGCCACCGCACCTAATACCAGTTTCGGAAAAATTAGTGCAAGAACATAAGCAGCATGCTAGAATTACACAAACAACTGATTTAACTTTTTCTAATTCTGCACCGGCAAACTCACCATCGAAAGTAGTCACTTCTGATACCCAGAGGTGCAGCAAGTAGTATGTCAGTAATCCAGGGTGACAACGGCCTCAGAGGTTTCCTATCATGGTGTGCCGAACCAGAGCTTGATTCACCATCTACTTTACCGCTAGTAGAAACATGTTTGCCACTGCTTCTTCTATCCACTTCACTGTCATTATTCTCAACTTTGTAAACTGGACGATTGTAATGAGTTAAGATTCGTAAAATCTCTCCACATGCTAAAGCCCACTGTTCAGAGTACTCATTCTGCCATAGCATAATGAAATAAATCAACATCAAATTCAAAATACATTCACTTAATCTAACAAATCAAAAGCTTAAATATACCTCATTGCTCGGACAGACCAAGGCAATGAAGGAAGTAAACGGAGGGGCACTTTTGGAATATTCCACTAAACCATCAATGATGCAAGATATAATGGGAAGAATGACAGCATGCCCATGCTCAGGATGGTGAAGAACAAAAGTTGCTGGAAAGAACAGATCACACATGTATTAAAGTCAATAGAAATCTAGCAGTGATCTTAAATTTTCAAGATAGGGAAAATTGAAATAACAATTAGCTAATAAATTTTAAGGAATCAAAATCCATTACCTAGGACATCATCAAAAAGTCGATGTTCGTTAGACGGATACCGATTCCGGATCAACTGCAACAAAAATAGAAGTTGTTAATGGTAGGGAACAGCAACAGCTAGTATTAGGTTACTCTAAGAGGAAAGTGTATCAAGTTACTCAAAGGGCAAGTTCTCCTTTTCCATGTCATGCAGCTTTTTAGTTCTTCAAAGATAAATGACTTGATGGCATACCTCAGCTATGTCCTCAGGAAAGGATTCGGATGTAAACTGCCCAAAGAACTCAACGTATGCAGTAATTTGAGCCTACATTAGAGATCCGCCAGAACATTAACAGATATGTATAGACAAATCATAGTTAAAAGAAATTGTAAAGCTGCAGAAAGTTTTAAATAATCAAGTAAAATTGATGAATTTTCAAGGGGACCACACAAGCCAGAAGACCTTGCTTCCATGGTAATGAGTATAATTATTTTTTAATCATTGACTAGTTAGTTAGAAAGAGATGCAAAACATCAACTCAACAAGAGAGGAAATTGTTATTCTCTACTTTCCTCTTTCAGCTGGACAACTTTGAAAATATGCTACTAAATCTTTTGTTTTCTGGTAGCAGGTAGCAAACATAAAGACTCTGAAAAAATCCATGCATTTCATTAATATGGGTTAACTTCCACTGTCACAGTATTCTAAGTAGTAATGACTATAAGGCTGGTAGAGTATACTGTATTCTTCTCCATAGATCTAAGTGCTTCTTGATCCTACAGCAACCAAATGGGGAATGAACATGCCTCATTGATTTAGGCTCTTGACAAAGGATTTAATTTTCAATTTACTGTACCCATCTCTAGCGGAACAAATAGAAATCCAATGGAGATCAAAGATGGGGCAACAGTTTAGACATTTGGCACCTACCCCAGAGTTGAGGCTTTGAACCTTGGAAGCTGTAAAATGTGACAACCCAATCCCCATTGCCCTCCCCCAATCCAAATAATATATGCATGAATGAACCCGATAAAGAGCAAAATGGTTTCACAGAAACAAGCAAACGGCTTCAATATATGAGCATCGCATCTTTTCATCATCAACTAAACTGTTGAAAACTATAAAATGATCCTCCAAGCTATTTAAACAAGGAATCAGAAAATGTGATGCAGTAAGTGTCCAGAAAAAAAATAGAGAATTTTAGCATATATAAAAAAAGAACGCACCTTGCGTTGTTCACTGTCTTGTGGTGGAGGCCAGAACAGAGAGGAAAACTGAAGCCTGTCTATCCACCTCTCACATGTAGCAGCCATACCGGAAAAACCTAACAGATGGACCTTTATATACAATCAAGGTGTCTTCAACAATACAGACACGATCCTCCCAGCGGAAACTACCAATCGAGTATGAAAATACAGTAATTTAACATCTTTAAGCTTAACAGACAATACTCCAGAACTGTTGTCTAGTTATGGAGGAATTTGCTAAGCTTAAGCACTTAGATGACCCACCAAGGATGAGAATGGCCAAATTCCAGAGAAACAAATGTGCAGATAATATCTAGAGACAGTCAATCCAAAGCTCTTCCCTGCAAAACAAATAAAAATAATAATAAAAAAAATTATGAACCAACAAAAGGAAAGTCTAATTGAGTCAAACCGAAGTTCATTAACAGGCAACAATTTTCGATTCCTCCTTGATAACAGAGGAACTCTGATACTTAACTAAAATGATTAAGATAATTGTAGCAGCAATAAGCTGAGTCTGCTAAGGTCTTTTTGACAGTAAATACATCCCCAAAAAAACTAACCAGAACTTAATTCAGAAATAAGAAGCCAACTTTCAGAATTGTGATTGTGGACTAAAGAAAAAACATATAGCCCCGAATCAAGAACTGAAACTTGAAACAATCCACTAACTCAATTCACCTGAGAAAAGTAATTAAAACAGTTCATGTATTAAATTGATTTAACAAGAAATAAAAGAATATCTGACTTCCCAAACACAAACACAGTTTCTCATTCAACCGGAAAACAGTAATTGAACCACAATAAAGGAAATACTGAATATTAGACATAAAACTCATCCATGCAAACCGAAGATCAGAGCTATCTGCGCCACTTTGTAATTTCCCTTAATTCTTTTTCCAATAACTAAATTCAGTTTACATATTAAATTCATCAAATTTCAAGCACACATGACATAAAAATCCATTCTTGAACAATAATAGTAGCCTAAAAGCAGTGAACAAAAATCCAAACATAATATTTCTTTTCCAAAAAAAAAAAAAAACATCATATACCTGTTGCAAAATGTCAAAGTGGGTTGAGAAAGAATTATTCTGGAAAATCTAAATGAAAAGGGAACAAAGAACTGGTTAATTTTGACATATGAAAAAAAAAAAAGAGAAAAGAAAGAAGAAAGCTTTTAGTAGTAGTAGAAATGGTAAAGATTTGGATGTTCTTCTATTGAGGAGATTTTGGGTGGAGAGAGGTTAGAGAGAGAGTGAAGAGAGAGAAGGAGATCTTTAGCTGAACTCCTCTTGCTGCATACGTGGCAATGATATTTTCCTCATGAAGTATAGGGCCATTTGGCAGTGGCACTTCTGGTATTTCACCTCATGGCCATTGCATGGCCATGGAAAGTTGTACCCTTCTTAGAGGTTAGGATATGCCAAATGATAGGGGCAAAATGGGGATAAAGATATTTTCGAAATAATAATAACAAAATATAATAATATTATTAAAATAAATTAATTAATAATGGGGGTGGCTGTTAGAGATATTTTGGGGGGACTGTTTTGACGACATAAAAACAAAACTTCACGAGTGTGTCTTGCGTTAGCATCCTCGTTAGTCGTAAGCTTTACTTTTTCAAACCCCGTGCGTAAAAAATGTTATTTTACCTTCTTTTCCCTTCTTCTGGTGAAATTTTTTTCACTTTTGGTTATTTTTATACAAATTTATAAAGTAAAGATTTTCGTATCCTTAAATTAAAACCAATTTCATGCTTTTCATAAAAAAAAATTATCAGTTGTCGAGAAATGTAACTTATTCTTGTTATTCCACGATTATAATTTACTTGACTATATTGTTATACTAGTTCTATAACACTTTTCTCAGAACGAGGATGGTGTGTGCCAACACATAATATTTTCATAAATGATGAATCTATTTTCTTCAAATGGTTGAACATTGTGTGGAATGCTATTTTAAACAATAACGTTTTTCATAAAGACACTTACTCGGTCTGGTTCTTATTATATGCATTTTGATTTCTTCTAAATTTTATTCTTTGTGTTTTTCTAATTGAAATAAAATTTTAAAAATTATTTTATCATAATAGGGAGAGCATAATAGATGTGAAAAAATACATTTTAAATGTTTCATTTTCAATCGATATTGGTATATATTCATAGACCACCCAGTGAAGAAACTTTTAATTGATATTGATAACAAAAAAAAAAAAGAAAGAAAAACACTTACCATCAACTTGTACAAATTGCACGGAATCATTTAGGATTTTGGTTTTATTGTTCCCTCTGGTCCTTATTATAAAGCATTTTGATTTCGTCCTAGGTTTCATCTAAGATATCTTTTTAATTGAAATAAAAACCTTAAAAACATTTCATAGTAATCAGGAAAACACAATGAATGTGAAAATATATTTTTAAGATTTTTCTTTCAAATAAAAAGACATCATAAATGAAACTTAAGACGAAATCAAAATACCTTATAATAAGGATCGGATGGAGTACCATAGAAGGATTTTCATCTATTCTAAAACAAAAATTAAAAAAAAAAAAAAAAAAACGGTACTCAACCTTTCATCAAACTGATATGTGCATTAATTTAAAGGGACGGTAACTTTGGACAAGAAAGTAACTAAATATAGTAATTTATATCCTGTTCAAACCTAGTTATATAACTTGTGAACAAAATCACAAAAGACAGAAAAGAGAAAAAGGAATGGAGAAGAAAAAAAAAAACTTTCCTCTCCCCCCTGTCAGGTGTTTTAAATTTCTTCTTACAAGTTCCAAAGTTCTTCGGCCTTAGCTTCGATTATTCTGAGGAATATAAGATGGGGAACATACACACACATTCATCTCATATTCCAAAAGCAACCCGGGCAGCCCTACCCGTGAAGAATCAATGGCGGATAACTCAAATCATCGTCACAATCTGGTGGAAGAAACCCCGCTTCACTAGTCCACTTGTGTAAAGATATTTGAGGCATCATTAGACCATTAAAAAGTTTTATTGTATAATATGAAATCAGCTAATTATGTTGCATTCTCTGTGCCCAAAAAAATATATATATATATATTAATTGAATTTTGAGATTTGTATTAATTTGAAAATTTAATCTGAACTATCTTTTGAAACAGAAGAAATATGATACTGAATATATAAAACTCTAACTGCATCGTGTTCTAATTATGAATCCACGACTTGATTTTATTATATGGATCGTCTAATGTTTGGAATTTCACCGATCTCATTAGTATCAATAAACTCAAATAATCAACTGCAAAATTCGTTTTACAGTAATCATGCATCAGCTCAATTTCTCAATTTTCGCAATAACAAATCTTTTAATACATTTAATTTAATTTTATTATATATAGAAGATGGATTTGGACCGGCCAACTTGAAAAACTAGTTGCGTCCAATAGGAACGAAGGAATTGATATAATGGTGTAATAAAAAAAAAAAAAGAGGCCATATTTAGGGATGGACTTTTGAACAACTCGTATATATATCTTGTGCCTAACATCTAATACGTGGCAGCACAACATGGTAGATTTATATCTTCTTCTCTCTTGCTTTTTGGTGTTATGCCCAATTGGCCCCATGTTACTCTCCACTTGCTCACGGCTTCGCCGGGTCCCACTTTTCGCCCTTTCATGTATGCATGGTTTTTTCTTCTTTTTTCCAAATGTCTACAATGCTAACAAACAAGTTACAAGAAGTTTAATGAGAGACACCAATTTATTCAAAACTATTCTATTGCAATGTGTAATGTTTGTATGAAACTTGTAATTAAAGAAATTCATAAGCGAAATCTTTGAAGAAATTCAGGGAAAATTTATAAATCTAATAATAATATTGGATGCAGAAATATAAGAACTTATCTGTTTGGTTTATTTTTTAGTATATATTTTTTTCAAAATTAAATATTTTTAACTGTTTTATTTTAGTATATCATTTTACATTCACAATAGAAAATATATATATATATATATATATATATATAAAGATCCAAACACAAGTGTTGATATAAATTTTCGGTGACCCTATTATTAATCACGAAAAACTCATTATACGGTTGGTGTGAGTTACGTGGAAATGAGGCAATCAATCATCTGTATAAATTATGTGATTTATCAACTATCAAGCATTATCATAGGATGGGGCAAATTAACTTTGGGTACTTTAATTTAGCTCACTTCACAATTTTCATTTTTTATTTTTTTAATTTTCAAAATGAGCCTTGAATTATTGAGTCTGAAACTGGAGATTCCATGGGTATGGATGAAAAGTGGAAATGGAGTGCTTTTTATGCGAACTACTAATAGGATACGAAAGAATTCCTTAAAAATCAATTTGCAAGTTCTTTTCATTTTTCCTTCACTAAACAAACTCGGAATCTTTTCTAGCGTTTTTAAATATAAAAATGCGTGCTAAAATCAAGTCGAACACACTTACAAACAGTACTAGAGTTTCCAAAGACGACATACTGCATGATCATTACTAGGAACCAATAAAAGCTGTAAAAGTTAATAATTTTAAAAATATTTAATAGCAAGTTCAAAATTTTGAACCCTATTGCAATGATATATGGGTTAATATCAAATACACCCCCAAAGTTAGATCAATTATCTAAAACATCCTCACTTTATGAGATAATATCAAGTTCATCCCTTGACCGATTGGTCAACTATCAAACTAATCCTCTGGCACCGAGAAAATGATGTATAGCTATGATATCAGCATATCAAAATAGTGTGAAAACTCTTTTACCCTTTTATGAGAACATTCAAAAAGCAAAAATTACAAAAGGTCTCGGTTTTTTTTCCTTGTTGAACAGTTTTCGGCGACAGAAGTGTTCTTACTGAAAACCAAACTCAAATCTGACAGTTGATGTAATGCGATTTCCATCAATAAATCCAGAAAATGAATCTTAAAGCGGCCAACAAATGAATAGCAATTACAATAAGCATATTAAAAGATCCATATGAAGTCAAACTTCCTCACAAAATAATATTTATTGAACCAAATCAAGATCAATATATAAAACTTAACAAATTGATGAACAGTTCAATCAAACGTAACCCATCATCAGCGGTGAACGAGCAAAGCAACCCACACAAGGATAGAATTAGCTATTCCTATAAATTTGAAATTAAAATCTCACAGATGCCTATTCAAATTCTATTTTCTTAAAAAATAAAAATTTAAGACTATGGAAGAAAACCTGAATAACCCTAATGTCTATCATCGAAACATATTTTTATGAAGAGAAAAGAAAGTTCAGCAAACCCAAAAGGAGAGAAATCAGCCGTCTTGGTCTTTCACCACCACCTAAATCTTATCGTCAGTAACAAATCTTGAACTCATAGGTCAGATTTTATTGCTTTTTTGAGTTACTCGTTCGATTAAATCTCAAGGAAATAAATTAGCAGAACGATGGGTTTGATGGTCATGAAATTCAAGTAGAAAAAAGAGGATCTGGCGATGATGGTGGTGTTAATTAAATTTGATGATGTAGGCACCATGCTTGAAAGAAAAAAAGGCAAGAAATTTTTTAGTGTTTAACGGGTGGGGTGGGGCTGGGAAAGTGTATTAAGGGGCTGAGAGGAGATTCTTGGTTTTATAGTCATTTTACACTTTTTACCGTTTGACTTTAGACTTTCACGGGTCAAAGGTGGTTCTTGATATTTTTACAAATGCGGAGGGTGTATTTGATAATCAAGCGTGACTCGAAGGTATTTTTGATATTAATCCAAACTATATATACTTGTCTAGGCCGGAAAGATTGGATTAGATGGTTAGCGGTTAAGGTGAGAAATAAATCTTTTGAGAACACAAAGTACGAAAAAAAAAATCCTCTATTTATTTTGAGTTTTCTTTCTTTTCATCTGCGTTAACTTGCCAACAGAAATACATAACATCGAATATCTATTGAATTTTTGTTTTACTATATAAACTGTATTCATAAAAACAATCAACAAATGATACATCCTCAGACTAACTTTCATTAAAGAATGGCCCATCTTTTTTGGCTTTCATTATAAGTATTAAATAGTATTTTTGATTTGACCGATTCTTTGTGCTTTATAGATCATGCACATTGAACCATCCAAATTAAATTGACTTTTTTAGTGGAAGAACAAAAACATAGGACACCTATGAATGAGAAGAACAATCTAGAACAATAGAAACATCCTAGTAGAAGCCTTCTCTAAGTTCTAAGAGTCTTCGAAAACAACATGAAAAAACGTCGGCTAGATAACCACGTATAAGTTAAAATGCAGGACGGTTTGATTAACCAATGGCGATTAAATCTTTTGCTTTGTTGACGACTTGATGTTAACACAATGATAGTTATAGCTTAATTTAGTATTAATATATTATTAATCGCCCACTTAAATCACTAAGTCGTGGCACTTGCTTTCTAATTTGAAACGATCATTACAACGTCGTACAAATTAATTATTATGCTCCACTAACGAAAATAATTGCTTGTTGGAATCGCATCGGTTCTCGAAATTTTGTTTGACACTGGAAAGTGCAAATTGTAAGTCAACCGGGGAAGTTTTTGGTCGGCTTGTTGAAGATAATATGCCAAAAGAATTCTACCAAAAACGTTAGTACATAGAACTGAAACAATTTTTTTTTACAACAATGTTGAAAGTTATTGGTTAACCCGTTTGTAGTAAAAGTATGATTAGCTGAGCCATTTCAGTTTTAGAAATTCTTACAGCTTAGTATCTTACACTCTTTCCGTTCTAAAAAAATAATTCATTACATTGGTGAAAAAAAGCATTTCACTATATTGATAAGTTGAAGCGTTGTTGGTGAGGATAATGTATAGGCTTATATAGTACTAAAAATGTAAGATTGCAACATTTCAGAATTCAAACATTGCAATTGTATTTTAACTTAAACTGAGGTTAAAAAAAAGTATTCCTTTTGTCTCAAAACAGAAGATTTTCAATTGGTAACTACTAAAATAATCACAATAAATATGATCTTTTAAAATTAAAAAAAAAATTGGGACGAGAGCGGGAGAGAGTAAATAAATCAGATTTGTTTGTTGTGTTACAAATTAATTTTACTTTATTATTGCACAAAACAGCCCATCAAGAATATCAAAATAATCAAGGTTGGGCTATTACTGGGCTTTGTTTGCAACTCCATCCAACGTAGAGAAAAACTGTTTATGAGGCCTATTGTTATGAACTGGGCTGAACTAGGAAATAGAAGTGCATTGAAAGCCCATCTGGGTAAAAAGAAAAAAAAAAAGAAGAAATACCATCCTAATCTCAACTCTTAAGATCATAACCTAATCCGAATGCAACAGAATTCTTGGACAGATGATTTTATAGCAGATTACTGAATAATCTATGCAATAATCAGACGCCATAGAGTCTTATAAAACATACATTAAAATTAGTTACATGTACTATTTAATTCTTTTTTTTAATTACAAAGAAAAAGGTATTGTTATAAACTCTTGCATGAGTTTTAAAAATGTGTACGTAAAATGATAATCATATTTCATTTGATAAGTTTTTAAATACATACAACGAGACACAAGGTGTAAAATTTGACATTTGATGATGGAGCATCAAGAAGTTATAATTTACCCGAACCTTATGTTATTGTGACATCGTAAAGTTTGTTACATGATTATTCTTTCAAAACACATATTTAATTTTAACTTCCCGGTCTTTCCTTAACATTTCTAAAATTACACTCGTTATTACATTATTAACTCCAACAATGTCTTTCTCTCCTCGTACCATAATAATAATATTCATATTGTTATTTCGGTGATCACTTTCTGCCCTCCCAATTCCAATGCAACTACTGAACTTTGAAAAAAAAAAAAACTCCACAAATACTTAAACGATTATTCGAATTATAACCATCTAACTATTTTTCATAACAATCTCTTACAAATCGCCCAGCATTTGCCACACTAGTCTCATGATTAAAATTACCATCTCTACTGATGTTTAACCATTCCATTATCAATTATATATGACATTAAAGTTTATTTTGCCATTTAACGCTTTGAGTAAAAAAGTAAAAAAGGTAATGACGTTCATTCTAAGATCCCCGATTCACGCGCCGGTCACGTGCTATCTTCCTCCCTCCTTAAAACGAACTGAAAGGAAAGTAAACGCAGTTGCCATCACGAAAAAAGAAACTCCCCTTCCATGGAGAATTAGCTTGTAACTTCCACTTAGAAAAACATTCAGATTAGATGAAACTCTCTTCATCAAAATGGAGAATGTAAGGAAGCCCATCATCAATTCCTATCTTGTTTTGCTTTCCTTGTGTTTTTGCGCTTCTTTTCACCACACTGCTGCCAAAGGCGGCCTTTTTACCTCCCTCCGCTCAGGTATGACTTTAGTAATTAAGAAGTGATATATTGATTCATCCGAGTAAATACCGCAATGTTTTTTCGTCGATTTAGTGTCTTAGTAGCTTTGATTTTACTTCGGAATTTTCAGTTCACTTCATGGAGGGGATCCTTGGTAAAAAGTTTTGGACTCTATAATGTGCCAGCATAGCAATAAAAAATTCGTCCTGTGTGCTTCCTTACATTGATTTTGGGATTATTTGGGTATGGAATGTGGGATAATTGGATTTCATATGATAATAAGTTCAGGGAATTTTGATTACTGGGTATGTATAACTTGATTTTGATCACTTGAATGAGCAAAGTGGACGGATCATGTTTTGGGAAGTATTCAGTTCCTAGAATGATGTTTGAAATGGGAGTTCACTTTACCTTTTCATCACGAAAATATAGTTATTCCTTGATCAGAGTGCAATTTAAACAAGCAAATAGGTGGCTAAGTAGACTTTACATCAAGAAAATTAACCCTTTATCCCACTATGCTGGGTTGAGTTCATGAATCATATCTCTTTAGCGCACTCTATCGAAAAGTTTTTTTCTATTGAGTAGAGGGAAAAGAGAGAAAGCTGAGAAACTGGGTCTTTCTATCTAGTGAAATGCTTTTTCAATTTCGGTTTGCAAATTCAAATTAACATTTGTATTATGGGTGCATGCTTCCAGATGATAGTTGGGTTCTGATTTTACATTTAAACGTTGAAAATGTTTGTTAAGGCAACTCATTGGATTGAACTTTATCTCGCTAGTTGTCCAAGACTTGTTCTTGCAGTTGCAAATGGTGAAAAAATCTTCCCACTGGGAATAAGTTTGGCTTCAAAAGAGTTATATGCTTTTTAATGCCTGAATAATACCTACAGATATTATGACTTGCCGTGCTTGTCCTACAATAATCCTTATTGAATGAATATGTATGCATGCAATTGTTTTCACCAATTCTGCGGGACAATTGACGAGTTTTGATATAGGCCTCCTGCTTTTGCAGATTCTTTAGATGATAGGTATGCTGGTTCAGGAAGACATCTTTTTCAAGAAAAGCAGTTGTCCAAAGAAGAGCATTTTCGTAGACTGTAATATAGATTCTCCGGACCTATCTATCTTAAACTTAGGTTCAAGTTATTTGCTTGTTTTGCTTGCAGTTTGATAGTCAGTCACAAGTTCTCTTTATTTTTTCCAGAAACAAACTAGCCGAAGGATACATGAGTAATGCTGATCTGGAGAAGGCCATCAAGGCATTTAACCGTAGATGTAATAGCATTTCTAGAATATACAGGTAATGGGAACTTATTCACATTGTTACTACTTTGCCAGTAGATCTTCAAATGTAGGCTTACTTTTACTTTTTCTGTGCTAGCAACTAGGATTGAGTTTTTATCATGCTGGTTTACGGACCACATAAACTGTATTTTACGGTGAAAATAGGTGGTGCTAGTAAAAGGTCTTAATTCTCTGTACCAGACTACCAATAAATACTTCAGAAATAATATTGTTGAAATGATTGTCACTTACCTGACTTGCAATTCTCTTCTCTTTGAGGGAAATTTTCATAACGTGATCAGTATTGGGGAGAGTGTCTTGGGAGTTCCACTGGTACTGTTTTATAGTTCTCCGGCTCTTTTCTTCATACTTAGTTTCTCCAGTCGTGTTTCTACCACATTCACTGATTCTGTTTGATTGATTTACTGAAAACAGTGGGTAATAGAAATTTCTGACAAGCCTGGAAAGGATGAGCCTGAACCTTCTTTCAAGGTATCAATTTCGTTTTTCAAAACAATCTCAATTCTCAACAGAGTTGGAGGGCTATTTTTCCTCATAATTGGTGCTTAAAACATTTAATTTAAATTGAAAATTTAGCTATGTTTTTGGTAATGACAGTCTGTGTTGGCAATGGCTTTAAAATTGTGGTAATAATCTTCTTAATTGAGCCTCAGTCAGAATCAAGAGACGTCATTTTCTTAGTGTTTCTTCTAATGTGCTACAATTTTCTCTGAGCTTTGTTTTTGAACTAAGTTATGTATCTCCAAATGATCCTTTCCACGATTTTAATTTTTTTGGTTGTTATACCTGATTTGCAGTACATTGGAAATGTCCACGGGGATGAACCTGTAGGCCGCGAGCTTCTCTTGCTTCTGGCAAATTGGCTTTGTGACAACTATATGAAGGACCCATTGGCAAGTTCCTTTTTCCTTGTGTATTTATAACATATATATAAACCCTCTGCAGCTCTTTCTTTTTTCTTTTCCTTTTTTTTTTTTTCATTCTTTCTGCTTTCAACATGTACCTTGTTCAGGCTAAATCCTCCTGTGACTACTTGTCTTTTATAGTTGTCAACTGCTTGCCTGGTTGATGAGTTAAAGTGACCTTTCATGCATCAAACATTTTTTTCCAATCTACAGCTCAGTCTTTTAGGGATTTTCCAAAATAAAGGAATTTTTGAAATTTAATTTGCTGCATATCTAGTGGAAATCATTTTATTTTCATAATTTGCTGCATATCTAGTGGAAATCATTTTATTTTCATACTTTGGCGTTGATACTTTGACTGTCATCTTGATAAACCTTGTAGTGTTTCTTTTTCCCAATGTTTTTCTTTTGGGCTAATGGTGACTGTTTGACCAACCTGTTTGATCAGAAGAAGTGTGTGTTCAACTGTGGCAGATCTTTGGCAGTATTTGGTCTTTTAGGAAGACAGAAAACTAAGTTTAGTCATAAGAAATTTGAAACTGTGGTTAAGATTTCAGACAACTGAGAGTTTTCTCTGGGAAGCACTCCTAAAATTCTAGTTTGTCACACTAAAAAACCTTCAAGCATCGCACCCAAGGGAAACTTGCATCACACAATCGATCAGATTATATGTCTCTTGCATGATTTTCTCTTTGGGGAAGTATCTGTAATCTTCCCTTAGCTGCATTTTATATAGATGACAAAACTAAAACCAAGCAAGACTAGAGTTCATGATTTACTTTCCCCAAGAATCAAGCTCCTCTTTAGGCATAAGTATAAAAGGTAAAGACTTGTCTGAATAAATTTTAGGCATAAGTATAAAAGGTAAAGACTTGTCTGAAATTAAAGTAGGAACCGCTTGAATTCAGGAACTCCCTGCCAGACAGTATTTCTCTAAAATACCCCTGACAACAAAAAAGAAAATATAAATGATTAAGACTAGCAACCAAATTTCTTCGCCTAAAACTTGATCAAGAATAACTTGGCCTACTTATGTTGTTCAGCATGCTGATTTCTTCTTGGGATTGTTATTAAAGTTGGCACAACTATGGGAATCCTTGATAATGGATGTCTTTGTGCTCTTTTGGTTCTGCATCATTATTTATTCTAAATCTGTGGTGCCTGAAGTCTGCATTCTCCTTTACATTCTTCTCCTGTAGTGTAATTATTGGTGACTCGCACGTAACATTATCTTTTAGTTTTCATTTGGATGCAAGCCCTTGCATATCTAACATTGGCTATACAGGCTAACTTAATTGTGGACAATATTCACCTTCACATATTACCATCCCTTAATCCCGATGGGTATCAGTCAAGAAAGCGTGGGAATGCAAACGATGTTGACTTGAATCGTGATTTTCCAGACCAGGTATCCAGTACATTTTAGTATATTTCTTACGGTTGAAGCTCAGAAATTTTTGTACTATAATGTATCTAAATTTAGATTAGTACAAGTAATGTTTAATTTATCATTGGAAAAAGAACTACAATCTGAACTATATACATTCACGAGGATGCAAGTGCCAGCTGGACGGGGGAGGCAGTAGAGGGTTGTAATCAGAGGATGACAAGACTAGTTTTACATTCATGATGACACTGTCTGGGTTTAATTTTACACACCTGGTGGAATTGGATGAAAAAGGAAATGCTCCAGAAAATACTCGTATTGCTGTAATTCTTTGAGTGCGACAAGAAGTTTCTGTGTGTATAAGTTTGTCTAGTCATAGTGATTGTTACACTATCTTATTTAGTTACTTAATCATTGACTGACATGAAGTGGCTTAGTTTTTTCACATGAATGATGATCTGAGCATGCGGCAACCTGAAACAAAAGCAATTATGAGTTGGTTGACAAAGATACATTTCACTGCATCTGCCACTCTACATGGGGTAATGGTTCTTATTTTCTTGTGTATATAACCTTCGAGTTACTACCCTCTTCATTTTATGTCTATAAATGAGTATCCATATTATAAAATGGAGTTTGTGGAAAGCTAGTGTTGTGATTGAGAAATCTTATTCGGAGCAAGTGTTGCCTGTTGTATTTGTATTAAGCACATTTAGTGATTTATTTCTTATGGGAAAGAAAATTCTTTGAATAATCTGTTGGATATTTTATCTGCAATCCAAGAGGAAGTTTCCATCCCCTCTTTCTCTCTGCTTCTTTTTGGTTTTTATTTGACTACCTGCTTTCCCAATTCAATTTGTGGGCCAACTTATTCTCCTTTCTCTTTTCCATTTACCCTTGCTAATCCAGAAATTGTTTTAAAATGTGACTTGATAACTTTGAAACACTGCTCGTCTACAAATTCATTTTCTTCATTTTCAACGTTGTCGAATTTTCATAGCATTTTTCTTTGAAATTTTTTTCAGACTGTCTCTGAGGTTTTTCTTTGATACTAGGAAAGGAATGCATAAGGATTTGAATATAGACACAAAGCTGATGTAGTGATGACCATCTCTTCTGTTTGTAGGGAGCACTTGTTGCAAATTATCCATGGGATGGATCTGAGGATGAAAAGTGAGCACTTTATGTTCAATTCCCCATGATTTTTTTAACTTGTTAATTGAGCTACTACTTTCAGTATGTAAAGTTTGCTATCAAACCACTTCCATGTTGGCTTTCTGATACCTTTTGTTAAACAGATCGCAAGGTTTTTCTAGACATCTAAGTAATTTCGAATTCACTTTGTTTTGATGCTTATAATGATCTAAACATGTTGTGAGCACATTTGTTCCCCTTGTTCTGTCATAAGTTGGAGCTTGAAATTATGGCTTATTTCATCATTTTCTTCCCAAGATTATACCCTTCCTCTCTTGTAGAGGTTTGCTTGTTTTATTCTTTACTTCAAAGGTTGGTGGAAAGAAGACTTTTAAATCCTTAAATTCTCTTATTGTTGTTTCTAAGCAGAGGATTGAATCTCTATTTATGTTTTTTTTAAAAAAAATTGGACATGGTCTTCAGGAAGCATTACTATGCATGCCCTGATGACAAAACATTCAGATACATGGCAAGTGTGTACAGTAATTCTCACCATAACATGTCTCGGAGCAAAGAGTTTCCTGGGGGAATAACAAATGGTGCTCAGTGGTATGGCATTCTTCTAATAATTTCCTCTTTTCCTTGGGCACTTGAATTTTAGGATGTCATTTCTGTATCTTTTAAATCTATGGTGGCAGGTATCCAATTTATGGTGGAATGCAAGATTGGAATTATATTCATGGTGGCTGTTTTGAGCTGACATTGGAGTTGAGTGATGACAAATGGCCTCACGCAAGTGAGGTCAGAAATCAGTCAAGCTATTTGTACCTCAAAGAAATGTGATATATAAAATATACATTCAGACCCACTACTATGTCAACTAAATCTTAGATTAAGCTCTCTTTTTGGCTAAAACCAAGAAACGCTATACTATCTTCTCCTGCTTACCTTTATTTTCGTGCTGCAGATTCCTGATCTTTGGGAATACAACAAAATGAGCATGCTGAATCTTGTTGCAAGTCTTGTGAAGGTAACTTCTCATCTGGAGATGTTTTCTTCTACTATCAAGAGTGATAAAAGTTTATAGTCTAACATCTAAGTCTGCACATTTGAATTTTGTGGCCTTATTCTAGGCAGAAGTAAGATCATATTGGAAGGGGGATTTGATTTTCCTTGAGGATCTTTTCTTGATAACCAGACATCACAGATAAAAGAGGCGTTAAATTAAGGCTCCTTAATAAAAAAAATTAAGGATTTTATGCGGTCATTAAGTGTTGTAAATGAGGTTTTTGAAAGGCTTGAACCTCTATTTGGTATGCATGCTATTTTGATAAACTTTTACCGATAGATTCTCCTTGAACTGCAAAACAGAATGTGGCACTCATCTGCTGTGTCATTATGTATCAGATTTTTTTGAAAAGTGATTCATTACTTATGATGACTGTCTTGTCGCTAACACATGAATCTTGGATTATAAAGACAGGTATTCATGGAAGGATTTTCTCATCAAATCAAGGAAGGCCTTTACCCGCCTCAATAGCTATCAATGGAATCAATTATACGGTATGCTTGGTATTTCATTTATGAGTACGATCTTTCAGAAACTTCATGCTGGTCATGGTAGTAAAGTGGCTAAATTAAAAAGTATTCAAAATGCCCATGAGAGTATTCTTTCACATGCATATCAGTTTTTGGTTTAACATACCCTAAAGGATGGCATCAATCAGATGTGTCTTTTGTGATCTAGCCTAAACCAAGAAAAGACATAATATGTTTCTAAGATAGCTGATCTTGTATGATTCTTCCACAGATAAAAGCTGGCGATGCCTTTGCCGATTATCATCGATTGCTTACTCCTGGGGACAAATATGAAGGTAATTGTTTCAGCTTTCAGTATTGTATGTGGAGATCGTGTACAGTGGTATAATCCTTCAAGAAGGTGCTTAGTGAATGCCTTCACTTACAATCTAACTCTGACTTCCTTTCTAAAACATGCTCACTGTGGTAGTGCAACATCATGTATAGCTCTTTGATATTCACATTCATTATCTATCCATGAAGATTCTGATTGTGTGTTACAATTCTTAGTCATCGCAACCATGCCCGGATACAAGTCAAAGAGTACAAGTATCGTATTGGGAGAAGAAGCGAGTACAGTTGACTTCATTCTGGATCCAGTAGTTACCGCGAGTGATGATTTACTGCCTAGGGGGTGCGATTGCAGTTACGATAGTAAGAAGCTTAAACTCTTGACAGGGGAACAGTCGAAGTTTCTTCTCATTTTTGTTTTCATTTCACTTTTCCTCTGCTTTTTGATGAAGAGGAGAGCGATACTAAGTTTTGTAAGACAAAAACAAGGGGCAGGAGCAGGTCCAAAGCGGCCTGTTGGTGTATGAATTTTTGAAAACGAACCATGTAACATCCTTATTAGAATTCGCCAATATATTGATGCTGTTTAAGAAACTACTGCAGAAATTTAGAAAACGAATATATAAATTTTACAGGTATAAGAATCACTTCTTGTGATCCTCCAAGTTTTTTTTTTTTTTTTTTCAAATGAAAACATTAATATTTGATTTTCATGACCAAGTCCAACAACGATGATGATAGGTTTATAATCAACAACGTATTGATTATAGCCTTCACAAATCACATTGACTGACCTGTCTTAACATCCATTTTAACTAGCTTGTTGATTCGGTACAACAGCAGTTCAAAATCATCTTGCCTCCTGAGAATCGAAAGCCGAACATAGCGATTTTCGACATTGAACAAACTTCCTGGCCGGCCAATGATGTTGGCTGCTCGAAGAACTTTTGTACAATCAGTATCTTCTTCATTTTCACATTTCAACCATGCATAAGCTGGATCATCAAGGGAAATATCATTAGTACAAAATGATCGAAATTAAGCAATCCATGTATATGTGCTTGAGAAATGTGGAAAAAAAAAACATCATATCAGGATTTACCTGGAGATGGATCCCTAACTTTGTCATAAAAATTGCAGTAGTTGGGAGAAATTTCTTGAAGGCTAAATCGTGTCGATGATGAAAGAGTTTGGCTCAACCTTTTCCAGCGTTCCATCATTGTTTTGAATCCATAGTCAAAGATTTCCCTGCCATTACCTTCTTTGGTTAGTACTTTTAGCAGTTTCAAAGCTCTCAATTGTGTGTCTTTTGAGACTCCCAATTCTGCTGAAGTTACATATGTTACCATTCTGTCAAATACGTCCTTGTCCTTTATTATTGCCCACCTTGCAAAAACAAAAGAGGGGTTGTAATACAGTTGAGGATATGCGAAAACGCTAAATTTTTTCGAAACAGAAGAGGGTTGCTACCCTAATCTACTTCCAGCATGGCCAGTGAGCTTAGAAAGTGTGAAGATCATAACATCTTCATCTGCTGGAGCTGGAATTGCAGTAAAATGTGGCCAGTAATACGCGTGATCATACACCGTCCTAACATAGGGACCCTGTAGAACACCTTTCCTTAGCTGACAATCTGGATTATTTGGCGAAGTGACAAACTCAATTAACTGCGAAGCATCTGAATTGTTTTTCATTAAAGATGCATCTCCACCAAACTCAAAATGTGCAGTTTGGAAGTAGTCCGTTTGTGATTTATAGAGCTGCAATAATTCAACAATTATTTAAATTCATGATATACATTCAAAGTAGGCGATTCAAGGCAGATTCGGGTGATCTGACAAACCGGATAGTAAGGGGTTAATGCAACAACCCTTGATGGAGATGACGAATTTTGGGATGAAAGAGCAAAGACAGCGGCATTGATCAGTTGAGTTGAACCACAGCCAAAGGCAATGTATTTTCCATCCGTAACTGCATTTTTCGCGATGGCGTGTAGCTTGCGAATGTAATTCTCGAGCTCTTCAGATACATAGGTCTGGTCCGGGAATACATAGCTCATCCGGTGCCAACCCGCAACTAGCAAGGCACTGCTAGCAGCGTGTCGCATCCAAAAGGGCTCCAAAAACAAAGGGTCTCCACTGCATTCAGCCAAATTCAGCCATCACTTTTAGACTTGTAAAAGCTATATAAGAGATGTACAAAATTTTTTCTTTCATTTGGTTGTGAAAGAAAATAGAGTGGTAGTCATCCAGGTCGACCATGGCCATGATAATCAGGAACACACATCTTGATATTGAAGAAATGTTTTTTTCCTCTTAACAATCATTAATCAAATTTAGCAACTCAAATAAGCATTTTCTTTTCCTCCTTTTTTTTTTTCCCTGAATCATTTAGTGAAGATGCTTTGATCTCTCAATCTCTTTTCTCTAAGAAAGTAGAAACTGAACTCAATTAATGATCTGTATCAGTTCGTATCATTTGTAAATATGCATGCCCCTCGAACCAAAACAATTCAAATTATGGTTTAACAGTTCATTAACTCAACAAAAACTCGTAATCAATCTTCTGATCCTTTAACAACTGTCGCAAGTGACAGAGTTGTTTATGAGAAGAAGGTTCAGATGAAAACAGAGGAAACAGAAAAGCAGGGGAAGTCTTTAAGAAACTACTGCAGAAATTTAGAAACCATGCCTATCAGCATCAGCAGGACAGTCAGGTACAAATTCACTGCAATAAGGGCCTTGAAAACACAAATTACACTCGCAAACTGGTTTCCCATCAACCTTCAATCCATCAACATAAGCTCTGCCATGGCCTGAACACTGTATTGAGGCCACAGCTTCAGCTTCTGAAGCAGCACCATCGCTCCAGCCTTTCAGCTGATTATTCCAACGACCCTTATTCGGATTTGTGATCAGGAAGATGTTGAGAATTATGGATGCCAAAAAGCAGACACCATAATAAGCTGAGTTTGGAATCTTAGCCATGCTGATGCTATAGATAGAATATAGAGTTCTTAGATAGGTAAGAGATCTTAAAGAATGATTCCAAATACGGCCCTACAACCGATGCTAGATTTTTACACTCATTTTTTCTTGTTTTTACCCCCTTAAAAAGTCGTTTCTGAAACTATTGTTTCGACTAATCTTACGTTAACCTAAGTAAGAACAGTTTGGGGAGCTGAAAATGTCTTCCTATCATTTTTCCTTGATGGATAGTTTACGAGTATTTGGCAGGCCCCAGCCGAACCTTCAAAAGGAACTTGATAATGAAGATTCTAAATTGACTAGTGATATTTCTGAAATTTGTTAAAATGCTCCTTTTTTTTCAATTTCATTTTACTGTGGAGTGTGGAGGAAAGTAGATTTGTTAGGAATCTAAATAATTTGTATTCCAAAATTATCAAGCTTGAAGTAAAAACAATGTCCAATAATCTTAGAATACAACATTAGAGATCCTGTCCCATGTAAATGGCTCCATATGTGTTTTTTTCTTTTTTTTTTTTTTAAAAAAGAACCAATAAATTGTCCTTTTAATTTGATATGTAAGAAAGTGTATATTGAATATAAACAAAACAATATATTTTGCATGATATATTTGATGACTTTTATTCGAACCACACGAGTCATACCTGGTCGGTTTCTGAGTGGAAAAAAAAATTAGAACAATAATACAATACATTTATCATTCAGATAATAAAGGTATGGTTTTTGTTGAATTAAAATAGGATGCTATGTCTTCATCAGAGGACATTTATTAGTTCCACAAAATTTAGTCTTGTATCGCTGTTTCTTTCTTTCTTTTTTGGCAAGTTTGTCTCGCCGTTCGATTTGATTAAAGACCACAATAATTTGTCTCATGCGTCTGTGAAAGGAAAAGGGCACGTCAAATTTGTAGGGTGCTTTACTGCAGTATATACTTTGGTTGGTCTGATGATGTTTCTTTGTATTATTAACCATACTTTGAACAAAACTATTTTATAAAAAAATGAAACTAGTCCCTCAATCTTACATTTTATGAACAAGATTCCCTTACACAAAGATCAAAGAAATACTTTTAATTTTCTATTTTTTATTATTGATTTTCGTTTAATCTCTAAAAGGGTATCATATATTGAGTTCGAGTACATCAGTAAGCTACTAAATTAAACTCCTACATAGAAAGGAAAAAAAATCTTCACTACCCGAAAAAAAAGAAGAAAAAGAAGTGGCATAATGGAACACACACTGTACGTTATAATTTTTTCCCCTGTATATAATGATACGTGAGGTAATGTATAGAACCATTTCATGTGATCCCCAAAGAAATGAAATTATTATTTGATTTGTATGGCTATAGCATTGTTTATAGGTTATTCATTATTGAGGGGAGAAAGACCAACATAAGAAATGATACTAGGTACGACGAACTAATACCACTTAAGTATTGACTGTTCAAACAAATTTGGACGTGGTGAATTAGTTTGGACACTAATCTGCATGTTGCATTATAGAGCATACTGATGTTTTGTTTTACAAAGATATTTGATGAGCTAGGGGTCAAACAAGTGTACTTTTTCAATTCTTAATTAGCCGGCAGAAAATTCATCTATAGTATATATTATACTAAGAGAGAAACTAGAGAGAGGAACAAAATCCTATGTGTCATTTTCCTATAGGTTGACATAAAAAATATTTACAACAATTACACTAACAGTCTTTTGAATTTCCAGTTAAGCAATTGCTATCAATTCGCAATTAAAGTAATCAATTAATTGTTTGGTAAATTTTCTATTTTGTATTCGGTGAAATGAAAAAGAAAACGGAATTTAAAAAAAATCAAAATTAATAGGTTATTTTTTTATTATGTGTCATATAAAAAAAGGTAAACATTTATTTGATTCAACATTAAAGTTGATTTGAAAAGATTTTTCAATTGACTTGAATACTACCATTACATATTGATTTGATCATTAAACAATATTAATGATTTTTTGAAATTCAAAAATAATTAATACAAAATCAACATTAATTCAATGAAAACAAACATATTCAACAAACCCTAAAATTATGGTATGTAAATAATCATTCCCCGCGTGCCTCTTGCGGTAATTTATTCTAAACTAATCAGATGAAAAAATAACCAAACCTTTTAGGAATATATTCCTTGATTAATGGAGATGAATGTAAATTAATTTCAAATCAAATATTATTTGATAATATAAGATCAATCTAATCCATAAATTAGTGCAAATTAACTTCAACAGTTATCACTTTATTATGAACATACACCTGTATATAAATTCTTCCATTTAGATCAATTTATCGTCCAACCCCGGAATTCCTCAAAAAGTTTCATCATCATTCTTACAAATATGTACCACCCAGTTTCACGCAGCAACATAAAAACCATCACAGTTTTTTATTGAAAAAACACAAATTCCGCTTTTTGTATTACGGCAAACAACATTGAAACTGCCAAATTCGTTTTCTAAGGTTTTAATTATTTTGGTGTATTCCTAATTTTTTATTTTGAATATGAATTAGTTATAAAAACTTTCAAATTCATTGTGTTTGTGTTTCGTAGGGACCATCTGAAGGGAACCAACTCTTGAATAACTATTGGCGAAAGTGGATCAAATTTATGCAATATTGCTACATCAAAGCGAAGACTATAAATTTAAAGGTGTGATTTACATACTGAATGTTTTCTTAGATTCTTACGTTTTGAATCTTCTTTCATAAACTCTCAAGAATTCATTAAGAGATTATCTAACATTACAGTGCAGGGGTTTCAAATTAAGGACGCTTATAAATTTTCTTTTTCGTAAAATAGAAATTTGAGTTTTCTGCCTGCAAAGAAATTGATTTTTGATTAAGCTAATCAGCTTTTTGCCTTCAAGAAATAATTTTTTTTCCTTCTTAGCCATCCATAGTAATTATTTATTGGTTTTATGTATATCAGATGAAAGAGAGAGCCAAACATATATGTATCATATAATTATTTACAATTGATTTAAGCAAATCAGATTTTTTTTTTTTTTGGGTAAAGCATTAAGGCCTCCATCTCTGTATCATCTTTCATAAGAGATATGATTCTTGAAATTGTATGGATTGCCAGATCGCGCACGAACTAATTGTTACTTAAAATATTTATGTAGAACGAAGAGGACATGCTATTGAGGCTCACAAAAATAGAACAAGGAAGAAGTGCCCATGACTTTGAGGCATCGCCATATCAAACGCTTTTCTAAAAAAGAATTTTCTATAGTTTAGTACGCTGAGGAAATTTGAAGCATTAATATGTTTATTTTTTTGTTGAAGGGATTCTTATATCAATATATTTTTCTTATTAGATTATTTTAATTTGATTATATATGATTAATCTGTTTTAATTGGGTTACCTTTTTTTCTTAATTGTTTACGTCCTTCATGATCCATCTATAGTACCACTAACCACAGTTTGCCTTTAAATTTTATGTTCATCAAAATCATTGATCTTATTTTTCTACAAGCACGATGAAATGACTAAAAAAATTCAGGTGCATCTAAAGAATAATATCACACTTATAGCAGTAATTAAAATGATAAAAGTGGATCAAAATTAATTAATTAAAACCAATACACCAGATGTGAATGTTTGTTTTTCTTTAATCAATTTTATTGTTATGTTTTTGTTTCTTTGGTGATATTTGGTTCTGAATTGGTCAAGTTTTATTAGACTTTTAATTAAATGTTGGTATATTTTTGTATACATATGTAACAACTTTTAGTTTCAGTTTTGATTAGTTTTGTTCTTTAATAAAAGTTTTTTTTAAAAAAAAAAGAAAAGAAGGGAGCATTAAAGTGATAAAATTTAACATAATTATCATTCTAACATGATTGTTATTCTTATCATGATCGTGATCATTATAATATGATTAAATAAGCATGAATTTTTATATCCCGCACATCGTGCGGGTAACATCTAGTTATTATATGTTCTCATTACACATCAACTGGCACAACGTTATTTCCTCAATTTCAAAATAAGTGTTGTTTTGGCAAAATAGAAAAAATTTCAAAATAAGTGTCATTTTTGGATTCCAATACATTTTTTGTCAAAAATTTCTAAACATATCATAAAAAAAATTATATTATTGGTGAGCATTTATTTTAATGGGGATTAGTTGAGGATATTCTAGTAATTTAGTTACCCTATTTAATGTTTTCTTAAAGTGTGTGTAAACTTTAGAATAACACTTATTTTAGAACGGAGAGAGTACAGTTAAAGATCTGAGTATTAGATATGAAGGTTAACGTAGACTAGCTAGCCAAAGGGAACTATTGGGTAGTGTCCCATACTATTAATTCATCTGCCAGTGACGATTTTTTTTTTATGCTTTTCGTCTTAGCTGATCGGTCCATTAATTATCATTCAACTTGTATGGTTGCTGCCATCTTTTGACGTAACGGGTTATTCATCCAAACTTAATTCTTAATTTTTTTTTTCCCACTATATTTTTATTTTGTAAGAAAACCATACAAAATTTGCGTAGCATTTCCTATAATGATACGTGTGACGTGTCTTACACCCAGTTGATTTGCATCTGACTTGATGTTTGCCTCCTCGATATCTAGAGACCCCTATTGCTTTGTTTTGTGAAGATGATTTATGAATCTATTTCATTACTCTTCTACTAATAGAACTTTGGGCAATGTCTACTGAAATCACTCTAATTTAATTAACTAGTTTTCCAGTTTTGGCTGCAGAAATCTATTCTTAACTGAACATGGACTCCATCAGTTGGCATATATGTTTTGCATTTTGTTGACTTCATTGTAGTAGGATTCGGTTTATTTATAACAATTACTACAAGTTTATACTTTACATTTAAAGCCAATGTGCTAACTTACCGTCCTTGAAAGAGAGTTGAGCTTTTTTATTAAGCTGATGATACTTTTTAAGGAACAGAATAGAATTTATAATTCCCAAGAATTTTACATATAAATTTGTACTATGTGGTTTGGACGTTTGCATGTTGCATTCTCGAGACTAATTTATGTTGTGTATAAGCTATTAAATAAATCATGTATAGATCAAGAAGTTTTCGTTCTTAATATCGGATATACTCCCTCCGTCCCATAATTATTGTCCAATTTAGATTTTTATTTCTAGTTCAAATTGTACTAAAAGTGAAATCTCAAAGTGGACAATAATTTTGAGACAGAGGGAATATATATTAATTTAGAGAGTTACTACTACAAGGTTATTATTTATTTATAGAGGTCTTTGTTTTGGTTAATTTGTAGAGGTTACGTGGCCTCCATTATTTATTTTTGTTTTATTTTAGTCATCAAAAGTAAGTAAATTAATCAAACTTTCAACAAAAATACCCCTGAACTCCAATTAATTCAGCTAACTTCTAACAGAGGAAATGAAATAAAATGGTGGAGTGTGGAATACAAGTAATGACCTCAAAGGGGTAGCTATAAGAAGAGAACATGGAAGAACATGGAGAGACATAGGAAGAAATTCTAGCAGCTCAAAACAACAGCAGAAATTCTAGCAGACACTGTCATATTGATCGACGCTAGGGGTAGTTACTTTGATAATAATGATGACATACATACTTTACCAATTTCTTATAACCTCTATTATATCTATTTTTCCTGCTATATTTCGCTTTTGTAAGAACCATACAATATGTGATATGCAACAAATGGAACCATCGATTTTCATCCTGACTGGGGGTGTGAACTTTTTCGACCTAATTTATTGCACAATTAATTTTCGTCCTTTTGTTTTTAAAGTGAAAAAATCAATTTTTGAAATTTTTTTTTTCTCTTGGTTCAAAATTCGTGTAATACTGATATTTCCTTACCAGCTAGTTTTACGCCATATGTACATAGTTAATTTTCTCCTATAATGATACGTGTGGTAACGTACGTTTAGGATCATTTTCATGTGATTCCCATAGTATTTTTCTAAAACGAAAATATGGTTTGATTTTGTGTGGCTTAATTAAAGAAACATTGATTATAGCCCTACACCAAATCACATTGCTTGAGCTGCCTTGACCTCCATTTTGACTAGCTCGTTGATTCTGTGCAACAGCAGTTCGAAATCATCTTGCCTCTTGAGAAGCGAAAGCCGAACATAGCGGGGTTCCCAACATTGAACAAACTGTCCTTCCCGCCCGATGATGTTTGCTGCTCCAACAACTTTTGTACAATCAACATCTTCCTCGTGTTCCACATTTTAGCCATGCATGCATAAGCTGCGTCAATCAAGCAAATATCATGAGTTGAAGGAAGAAGGTGAAAATCGTGTTCCACCCATGAACGTATAGGGAAATTACCCGGAGATGGATCTTGTCATAAAAGTTACAGTAGAGGGGTCCAGCGTTCCTTGAATCCATAATCAAAGATTTCCCTACCATTGCCTTCTGTGATTAGTACTTTCAGCAGCTTCAAAGCTCTCAATTGTGTGTGCGTGTGTGTGTGTCTTTTGGTATTCCCATTTCTGCTAAGGTTATGTACCTCACCATTCTATCGAATACATCCTTGTCCTTTATTATCGCCCACCTAATTTGTACAAGAAAAGAGAAATGTGAGTGCAAGATAAAAAAAAGTTGCTGTAATAATTGTAGTGATAATAATAAGTACTTAGCAAGATACTCCCAGCATGGCCGGTGAGTTTAGAAAGCGTGAAGATCATACCATCTTCGTCTGATGGTGCCGGAATTGGTGTAAAATGTGGCCAATAATAGGCGTGATCATAGACCCTCCTAACAGCTTTTCTGAGCTGACAATCTGGATAATTAAAGATGCATCTCAATTCATTAAAGATGAATTGGGAATCTCCTGAATTGTTTTCCATTAAAGACGCATCTCCGCCATACTCAAAATGTGCAGTTTGGAAGTAGTCAGTTTGTGATTTATAGAGCTCCAACATAATTGATTTTCAACAATCATCTCAATTCATGATGCAAAAAATTAAGGTCAGGGATAACAAGGGCGAAAGACAAACCGGATAACAACAACTCTCGCGGGCGATGATGAGTTTCGGGATAATGAAAGTGCAAACACAGCAGCATTGACAAGTTGAGTCAGAACCACAACCGAAGACCATGTATTTTCCATCTGTAACTGCATTCTTCGCGATGGGCGTGCACTTTGCGAATGTAATTCTCGAGCTCCTGGAGGTCTGGTCCGGAAATACATAGCTCATCCGATGCCAACCGGATACTAACATGGCGCTACTAGCTGCGTGTCGCATCCGAAATGCCTCCAAAAATAGAGGGTCTCCACTGCATTATTAGGCCATTGCTAGCTTTTAGACTTGAAATGAAATCTGAACACAACAACCATACAGATTTCTTCTCAGGCCTCTAAATCGAGTTCAGTTTGAATTAAAGATATCAAAATAACTGCAGATGAACTCAAAAAAAGTTTCAGCTCAAGCTTCAACTCTTTAAACTATCTAATTGACATAATATAACAGAAATACAGAATCATCAATCAAATGTGGCAACTAAAACTGTTCCCCTCACTCTTCTTCTTCTTTATACACAGCAAACAAGTCAAATTGTTCAAACTTCAAAAGTGCAGTGATAATGATTGGAGAACTCAAAAGCAAGGGAAAGTTTGAGGAAAACACATTTTGATGGGGGAAAAAAAAAGAAAAAGTCAAACCTTTCGGCATCAGCAGGGCAATCAGGATTGATTTTGGAGCAATCGGGACCTTGATAACAAGAACTACACTCGCAAACTGGTTTTCCATCAATCCTCAACCCATCAACATAAGCTCTGCCATGGCCTGAGCATTTTATTGATGCCACAGCTTCGGCTTCTGCAGCTGCAACTTCGCTCCAGCTTTTGAGCTCCGAATTCCAGCGACCCTTTTGCAGAAAATAAGCGATCAAGAAAATGTTGATGAGAATGGACGCCAAAAGACAAACACCATAAGTTGAGCTCGGAATTTTAGCCACTGGTGTCTTGATTCCAGTCATTCACACCCGCGCGCGCGCGCACACACACACACACACACTGTTCTTCAAGTATGCAACAATCTATATTTTATAGCGTCCATCGAGAAAACAAAGAAAAAAAAAAAGAAAAAAAATTGTCCATCGCAGTCTTTTTTACTATTCATTATGGCAATTTGGGGTATGAGAGTCAGAACTCAGAACAAACAACTGGATAATTTTAATAACACGGTTGGTCAGGAATCTTAACTACCAAAGAGTGACATTAGTGATTGGATCGTAGTAACTAAATCATTCATCAGTCGATAAAAAACAATATTTTCATGATTATTGTTTTTTTATTAGTGAATTTCGTGACGTTATAGGCATAACTTTGTACCCAACAGAATAAAAATGAAGGCAAAACTTCATAAAATAGATAACACAATTGCGCCACCTTGTTGTTTTTTAGACAAAGAGATTAAACCGCCGTTAACTGCCGTGTTGCTTTAACCGCGTTTAGCCAAAATTATTTACAAATTATTAATCACGAACTCAACGTGCCCTACGTCCTTTTTCTAATCAAATGTTTCATGTTCATTACACATCATAATAATACACAAGGAGCCGTATTTGGATAAGAAATGGGGCCATTATTATACTTTCGTCACCATAATTAATTTAATAGTAGGTGAATTTGATTACTATCTTTGTTCCAAAAAATAGTTCACATTGCATTTTTCAGATTTGTACTCTTTTTAATACAAATTTCAAAACTCAGTACTGACTATTTTTTTGGGGACAGATGGAGTAAAATTTTTGTTGCTTCCTCCACACCAAATGCTTATCCTCTCTATAGTATTGAAATAATGAGTGTATCAAAAAAAAAAAAAAAATTATCTTGGGATGAAATAAATGATAACTTTTGCTATTCAATTTAATCCGGTAAATTAAGGAAAATTTCAAAGTTTTCTCGTGTACTCGCAACTCATAATCAACATTACGGTTTTTTTTTTTTTTTTGGGATAAAAATCAACGTTACGTTTGGTTGGGTGGATACAAGAAGTTTGACTTCTATTTTTTTTTTTAAAAAAATTTCAAGTTCGTTGATACATCTTTCGTTGAGTATGAATAAAATAAATTAAGAAAGCCTTATAAATGCGTCTACCAAAAACCACTACATTCCTATCTTGATCATCAAACATTACAAATACAGTCACACAAAAAATTAATCCGTTTAAATTCATCTAATTTCATCGCAAAGTCAAGATTTCTTTGACATTTCATCTTTAACACATGAACTGCGATATAATAAGATATCCTAAGCTGTCAGATATCATAACAAACTTTGCTGATCATCGGCATGTTATTAATCATCCAGTGCTACGTATCCATCAACACCGTCTTTGGTATAGATATACTTCTTCCGTCTCAAAATTAAATAATTGTTTGATTTAAACATTCATTTTTATTACGAATCATAATAAAAATAAAAATCTAAGCCGGTCAATTATTTTGCTCAAAATTTTTTTTTTTTAATTTCCACCCCTCCCCTTTTTGTAATTATTTGTCATTTCTGCTGTGCATCGTCCAAGAACAGGGGATTCTTCTTGAACAAGGGGTGATTGAAATTCATCGGGGGAAATAACTTATTGGCTTTATTCAATTTTGCGTTTTGATCATGTTGCCGGAGTAGAGCGGCGCGGGTAGCATTCAGGGGAAGTTTCAAATTTTCTATGACTAATTCAAAATCCTTCCGTTTATTAGAAAATCGTTCTCACGTTTTGGAAAAAATATTACTCCTTTCGGTCCTTAGTATAAGACATTTTGATTTACTCTAGGTTTCACCTAGTACGCATTTTTAATTGGCAAAAAAAATTTAAAAATATTTCATAACAGTCAAGAGAACACAACGAATGTGGAAATATTATTTTAAGATTTTTTATTAATTAAAAATACGTAATAGAAGAAACCTAAGACAAATCAAAATGATTCATATTAAGGACCGGAGGGAGTACTTAATAGATTATCACTTTAGAAGTGTTATGTTTCGGAGTTCGGACTATTTATAAGGTTTATTGCATTTTGGGGGAAAAAAAATAGTCTTTCCGCCATTTTGACTACTCTACAAAAAATGGTCATAGACATTCACAAGTCAGTTCGTAGCTAACCCTTTGCTTGCCTCTAGAACAAGGTCTTCAAAATATTCAGGGTAGAGCGCATTAACCCTCCAGAGCTCTCTTCTAATTCTTCGTGAATAGAGTGGTGATCTATGCTTCCATCCACTGCGACTACGGCTGTAATATTCAATGGCTGGGATAAATTGTATTTCTTTATCGTACTGTCTGCTCCAAGACTGACTCCAGCCATTAGATTCGCCATTTTCTCCTTGAAAACCAACATCTCAAGCCGATGTTGCAATAGATTGAAATCGTCTTGACTGTTCACTAAGCTAAGACGAACATAGCGACTTTGTGCACCGAATACGTGCCCGGCTCGGCCGATGATCTTGGCTTCCTTTAGCACGGCATGACAATCCTCATCTTCGTCATTTTCGCATCGAATCCACGCAAAAGCAGGAGTTGGAGCTCGGACTTCATTTGAAAATGTACACTGTTGTGGAGTGAGTTCTTGAAGGGAGAACCTCTTGGAACTGGAAAGAATCTTGCTCAACTTCTCCCAACGGAAACTCATCTCCTCGTATCCAAAATCGAACATTTTTCTTCCGTTTTCTTCCAATACAACATCCAGAAGTTTCAGAGTCCTCAACTGAGTTTCTCTTGCAACTCCGTATGTATTCAAATCCATGTAGTCCACCATTCTTTGGTAAACATCCTTATCTTTGATGATTGCCCACCCAAACCGACTTCCAGCATGGCCAGTAAGCTTGGAGAGTGTAAAAATCATGAGGTCTTCGTCCATTGGAGATGGAATGGCAGTGTAATGCGGCCAGTAGTAAGCGAGATCAAAGATTTGCTTGGCATTATCACCCTTTAGGACAGCCTTATTTAATTGACCATCCGGGTTATTTGGTGATGTAACAAACTCAATGAAGTTGTTAGAGGAAGCAGTAGTACTAATGGAATTGTTGATCCAACTCGCGGCCTCGCCATTGAACTTGAACTTGGATGATTCGAAAAGTTCTGTCTGCGATTTGTAAACCGGGTAGTAAGGCGCAGATGCCACAACCTTCGCTGGAGAAGATGACCCCGTCGTAGAAGAGAGAGCATGGACTGCGGCATTCAAAAGCTGAGTAGATCCAGCTCCAAACACAATGTATCTTCCTTCGGTAACTGCATTTCCAACAGTTTTGTGTAACCTGCGAATTTGCTTCTCCAATTGCTTAGAAATGAGTGAACCATCCTCGAATTCGTATCCCATTCGATGCCATCCGGACATCACTACGGTGCTTTTCGCCGCATTCTTCCTCCAAAAGGGCTCCAAGAAAAGCGGGTTTCCGCTGTCGGCATCTACAACGCAATCCGGGATGAATTGAGAGCAATCAGGGCCAGTGTAGCAGGCATTGCATTCACACACTGGTTTGCCACCATCTGAGATCAATCCATCCAAATGGGCTGATCCATGGCCAGAACAAGAAAGAGATGAAACCCCTTCAGCTTCTTGAGCTGCTTTTCTACTCCAACTCAACTGATTGGAAGAGTGATTTGATGAATTGAGCAAGAAAGCAAAGAACAGAAGATTGAGGATTGCTGAAAATCCCAAGCACAGTGTGAAGGTAGAGCTCATCAAATTCTGCTTCTCCATGGGATATGAACTTTTTATGATCGGATCAGTTAGTTAATTTTAGTTGGTTTATGGGAAGTTTGAAATGCTTAGAGAACTTTGTTCTTTGAGTGATGAGTGGAACTGAACTGAGTGAACTGATCTAATGTTAGCTCTCTTTTATAGTGGTGGTTATGGTGGTTGAAAACTTTAATCAAACCGGCTGATTATTTTAATTAATAACTTTAATTAATCAAGATTATGTCACGTTTCTGACTTGATATACCGTGTTATTTTGCCTTATAAAAATGAAACACTTGATATAAATAACTAACAAATCACGTTTTATTTTATGTTTGTGTATAAGAAATCAGTACTTTACGCGGGTGAATACGTATCCTTAATTAATCTTACTCTGGGTAACTTAGACTGCTGAACTTACGAGGTAGCTGCTTTTAACTTAGAGAATAAAAAATCGGGAAATGGCCATTCTAGCCTTCTAAGTTCTAGTTAATTAGCTTCTTACAAGATGTCGTTTAGCTAACTATTTGCTTAATTAACTAAGGCCTTTTTCCCAATTGCGACTGATTCTTTAGACAAATGTGTACGGTATAAACAATAATCACAATTTTATTTTCTAATATTGATACGAGTAAACATCTCTATATATATGTTGAAGACTTATCAGAGTTCAACATATGATTACATTCTAAATTTCCAAGTCCCTATTTATCATCTTATACTAGGGGTGTTTAAAGATTGGTACTAACCCGTCCAACAGGCTAAACTGTTCAATGGTATGGTTTTATAAACGGTTTATTAATTTTATTAGAATTGGTTTCAAAAATAAAAAGTCAAAAAGTAACGGTTTGGTTTGTGATTTGAGGACATGAAATTAATAATAAAACTGGACAAGACCGTTAATATTGTTAGAGTTATAAATATTTAATACTTGTATATGTATATTTAAATTTTCTTTCACTAACCACAACTTCAAAATGGTTCAAAATTGTGGAGATAGAACAATTTATCTCCTTCCTTAATTACTACACCTCCCTATCTTATACACACCATTCCACTTAAATAACTTTTCTAAAACCACAATACAAAATGACACATTGAAGTGCGACTGTCCATTAAAAAAGGGTGAATCAGTTTAGGAGTGATTTGATATCTCATGTACATAAAAATTTTGTTGACTTCTATCTCGTGAAAAAATAATTAATTTGTAAAATTGGTACAAATGACCAATATATATTTTAACAAAATTGTATACTAGGCTACCAGAAGGTGCGGAGTGCAGACAACCTAGTAGTTTTATTATATAGCGCCGTTATTCTGAGCTTTCATGTTATACTACTTCCTCCATTCCAATTCAATATACTCATTTACACATACACGGAGATTAAGAAAAGTGAATAATATAGTTTATGTGGTTAATTTTAAATGAAATTTCTACTACACCCCTAGTAATGACTAGTGAGTTATTGGTTGATATGAGAGAGTAATTGTTAAAATTACTCCATCCATTCCAAAATAAGTGTCGTTTTAGTAAAATTGAGAAATTTCAAAATAAGTGTCGTTTTCACATTTCAATGCACTTTTTGTCTAAAATTTTCAAAATTACCCTCAAAAGAATTACTACTATTGGTGGACATTTTTTTAGTGGGGTTGGTTGAGGATATTCAAATAATTTTATTACCTTATTTAAGAGTTTCTTAAACTACGTGCAAAATGTAGGATGACACTTTTTTGGAATGGAGGGAGTAGTAAATGTTCTTGATTTCAGTGAAAGTAGAAAGGGTATATTAGAGAGTTTATAATAAAACTTAATTAATTGTTTGAATTGGGACTAAGTTTTGAAACATCCCAAAAAGAGAAGTAGGCCTATTGAATTGGAATGGAGGGAGTATCATGTTTCAAAGTTCCAAGTTCCAACGTTAATTGCCGTGTTTACCTGCCTTCATTCAGCAAAAATTATTTTACATTCTAACTCATCACGAACACAACGTGCTCTAAGTACTTCTTTTTTTTTAACTTCTTTTTTTTTTTTTTTAAAAAAAAACCCAATTGTTTCAATTTCATAACACATAAGATAATAAGAACAAGCAAAGCGGTAGTATTTGGATCAGAAACGTGACATTACTTGAGTGAATTAATAGTTAAACTACAACAATACTTAGTCGGTCATAATTAACATATGTGCAAATTAATTCAAGTTTTCATATTCCATCCATCCAAAAATTGTTCTCGGGGGGTTTTTTTTGTGTATAAATGAAATCGTCCATCCTCAAGCATTCATTTTGGACTGATAAGTAATATTGCTTGTTTTGCTGTTCAATTTGATTGGGTAAAGAAAAAAAAATTGAAGTTGTCTCCTGCTCCTTTGTAGCTCTCTTAATTTAGTTTACTCGTAATAATCAATATGGTAAGATCAAATTGAGTCGAGTTGTTGATGATGTCCTCATCAAAACTTAAAATACTATAATAATAAATAAGTCATTTTCTTTATTATTATTATTATTATTATTATTATTATTATTATTATTATTATGTGATCGATTAAATCATTGATGACATCGTACATATTTATACACATACATTATCATTTAAATTTATTTTTAAAACTGCAAACCAACCAACGTAATGTTCATAAGAAGTGGCCGGCCACTTGCTTTCATATGTGCAACTTGAATTTTTTTGGTCTCCCCTTCCAGATCAAATTGAACATTACAAAATGATTGTCCAAGGATGTACGATTTAATTTATTAAGAAAATGCCACAACAATTTTCCGATGAACAGAATACGAAAAATTGTTAAATTGCACAAATGTTAATTAGGACTAAGTACAGTAGCGGTTTGTTGTAGACTAAACTATTTACTCAAATAATGTCACATTTCTGATACAAGTAATACTGCTTTGCTTGTTCTTATATCTTATGTGCTATGAAAATTGAAACACTTGGTTAAAAAAAAAAAAAAAAAAAAAGAGAAAAAAATACTTAGGAGGCGACGTGTTTGTGATGAATGAGAATGTTAAATAATTTTTGCTAAATGAAGGCGGTTAAACACGGCAATTAACGTTGGAACTTTGAAACATAGTATGATATGAGAGTAGCAGCTAAAGGAGAAGCACCTTCCTTGTAGCTTAGTAATACAATTTAATTAAAATATATATTGGTGATTTTTACCATGTTTACAACTTACTTTTCCACGTGATGGAAATGGTGGGTATCAACAAAATCTTTATGTATATATGAGACGTCAACTCACTCCTAAACTGATTCGACCTTTTCTAAAAGACATAGTCCCATTTCAATCTGTCATTTTTCTTGAATATCAGAGTGATTTAACGGAAGCAAAAATTGGAATTTGAGCTAGGAATTAGGGTTTGGGAATTATTGGTGAAGAAGGAAATCTTTCTTTCTGTATTAAGGAAAGATCTACAATAATATGTGTCAGGGAAATTTACACTAACATATTCGTGAAAAAGGTTAACTTGAAAAGGTTATAATAAAATTGTTCTACTTCCTTGGAAAATGATGATAAAGTTCTTCGATCCCTTTATTAATACAGTATATCTTGAACACATTTTTCTCGTATTTTAAACCTTACACCGAATACTAACAGAAGCACTGACTACTGATGGAAGTTAAGGAAGTCTGTAAAAAGTAAAGAAGAAAAGGAAATGGTTTGTCTTTATCATCTCTCATATTGCATAAATAATCTCTTGATTTGGTATCTTTTTATTAATTTTCTTGGGAAAATTTAGATAAAGGACAGTGGAGGTCAAATAATTAACAAAGAGGACTCTACTTTTGAATAATATGTATTAGGGGCATAACAATTAATCAACCATAGAAACATGGCTTTACATATTAAGAAACTTATTAATATCAATTTAATTACTTTGGAAGTTTATTAATTTATTTTTTCGTAAGCTTGGTTAGTACACGAATACTGAAGTAGTTATTCATTAAATAAAATTAAACATAATAAATTTTTATTTTATTAAATTTTAAAATTTTTTCTAATATAAAATACATGATATTAATTTTTTTAAAAAATAATATTAATTTAAGTGCTATAAAATATCTTGTATGGCTCATTTAAATATAAGGTTTTGGAAAAAGAATTTAGACAATTTTGATTCATGTGAAAGCAAAAAATTATTTACTTTAATAAAATTAACATTATATGGAAAAAATAATGCCACCTAATAAAAATTAAGAAATATAAATGTTTATTTTTAAGTTCAACATATTTATATTATTTTCATATTACTATTGAAATATTGTCATTTATACACTTTGGAAACAGATTGTAATTTATGTGTTAAAATCAAATGAAAGGGAAAAAAAAGATTTGATTTCAAGAGTTCATGTTTGCATTGTTGCATAATTATGCCCTTAATAGAAATTATCCAAGAGTGTTCCCCTCTTTGTTAATTACTTTTTATCTACGGCCCTTAATCCAAATTTTTCCAATTTTGTTTTAATGTGTAAAGTTATATCACTTCCTAGAATAATATATATTCATTTCTAGTTGAACTTTTTGCAAGAGATTTCTTTTAATTTATTTTAGTGTAAATCAGCTCAGTGGAGTGTCCAAAAGATAACTGAGCCAAATTGAAAAGTTAATAAAGGCGACATTTGCCCGAAGAATCAGCCGCAATTGAGAAAAGGGGAATAATTGATTATGCAAATGATTAGCTAAACGACATCTCTTAAGCAGCTACCTGGAATGAGCATTTCATAATTGTTTTAATGAAATTCTTAAAAGCAGCTACCTAGTACGTTCAGCAGTCATTGAGTCTTGGTTACTCGGTAACAATTAATTAATTAGGACTAATTACGTATTCTACCGCGTACACTTCTTCATATAGTACAGCAGTAAGTTAATTTCTTATCCGCAAACAACCAACAGAACGTGATTAATTAATTTTTTTAATCTAATGGATCATTTTATAATGCAAAATAACACGGTGTAAAGAGTGAGAAACGTGACATAATTTGATTAATTAAAGTTATTAATTAAAATAATCAGCCGGTTTGATCAAAGATTTCATACTTTTTCAACCACCATAACTGCCACTATAAAAGAGAGCTAAGTTTGGATCAGTTCTCTCAGATTCAGTTCCACTCTTCACTCCCTAAACAAAGCTAAAAGCATTTCAAACTTCCCATAAACCAACTAAAATTAACTAACTGATCCGATCATAAAAAGTTCATATCCCATGGAGAAGCAGAATTTGATGAGCTCTACCTTCACACTGTGCTTGGGATTTTCAGCAATCCTCAATCTTCTGTTCTTTGCTTTCTTGCTCAATTCATCAAATCACTCTTCCAATCAGTTGAGTTGGAGTAGAAAAGCAGCTCAAGAAGCTGAAGGGGTTTCATCTCTTTCTTGTTCTGGCCATGGATCAGCCCATTTGGATGGATTGATCTCAGATGGTGGCAAACCAGTGTGTGAATGCAATGCCTGCTACACTGGCCCTGATTGCTCTCAATTCATCCCGGATTGCGTTGTAGATGCCGACAGCGGAAACCCGCTTTTCTTGGAGCCCTTTTGGAGGAAGAATGCGGCGAAAAGCACCGTAGTGATGTCCGGATGGCATCGAATGGGATACGAATTCGAGGATGGTTCACTCATTTCTAAGCAATTGGAGAAGCAAATTCGCAGGTTACACAAAACTGTTGGAAATGCAGTTACCGAAGGAAGATACATTGTGTTTGGAGCTGGATCTACTCAGCTTTTGAATGCCGCAGTCCATGCTCTCTCTTCTACGACGGGGTCATCTTCTCCAGCGAAGGTTGTGGCATCTGCGCCTTACTACCCGGTTTACAAATCGCAGACAGAACTTTTCGAATCATCCAAGTTCAAGTTCAATGGCGAGGCCGCGAGTTGGATCAACAATTCCATTAGTACTACTGCTTCCTCTAACAACTTCATTGAGTTTGTTACATCACCAAATAACCCGGATGGTCAATTAAATAAGGCTGTCCTAAAGGGTGATAATGCCAAGCAAATCTTTGATCTCGCTTACTACTGGCCGCATTACACTGCCATTCCATCTCCAATGGACGAAGACCTCATGATTTTTACACTCTCCAAGCTTACTGGCCATGCTGGAAGTCGGTTTGGGTGGGCAATCATCAAAGATAAGGATGTTTACCAAAGAATGGTGGACTACATGGATTTGAATACATACGGAGTTGCAAGAGAAACTCAGTTGAGGACTCTGAAACTTCTGGATGTTGTATTGGAAGAAAACGGAAGAAAAATGTTCGATTTTGGATACGAGGAGATGAGTTTCCGTTGGGAGAAGTTGAGCAAGATTCTTTCCAGTTCCAAGAGGTTCTCCCTTCAAGAACTCACTCCACAACAGTGTACATTTTCAAATGAAGTCCGAGCTCCAACTCCTGCTTTTGCGTGGATTCGATGCGAAAATGACGAAGATGAGGATTGTCATGCCGTGCTAAAGGAAGCCAAGATCATCGGCCGAGCCGGGCACGTATTCGGTGCACAAAGTCGCTATGTTCGTCTTAGCTTAGTGAACAGTCAAGACGATTTCAATCTATTGCAACATCGGCTTGAGATGTTGGTTTTCAAGGAGAAAATGGCGAATCTAATGGCTGGAGTCAGTCTTGGAGCAGACAGTACGATAAAGAAATACAATTTATCCCAGCCATTGAATACTACAACTGTGAGGGATGGAAACATTGATCACCATTCCATTGAGGAATCAGAAGAGAGCTCCGCAGGCTTAATGCATTCTACTCTGAATATTTTGAAGATTTTGTTCTAGGGTCATCCAATAGTTATTAGACTTGTGAATATCATTTTTTGTAGAATTAGGAAGTCTAGAGACATATTCATTTATTCTTTAACAAACTTAGGTAACATTACACTTTGTATACAAATATTTAGATGACAAAAACCACTCGTTTCTTGACAAAATATCACCAAATGCAATGGTAAATTGACAGATGATGGACTCAACAACCAAATGCATTTCTAGTTCTTCCTCTTGGTCAATTTCTGGACCAAAATCCTCATCTTCAAGGTCTGAAAGATAGTAAGAGTTGCAAGGATTAAACTTCTGGATACCAAATTAACCAATTACCCAATCTTAAGATTTTTCATATAATATTACCAAATTATATTTAAGAATCTTAAAATGGCAATAACTATTTGGATCATTCATGGTTTAAATATGAATATATAAATATAATATTATTTATGATATTAATAATTTAATTTTATAAGTTTCTAACAAAATTTAGAAAAAAAAAGTGTATGTGCATAAACATATAAACAGTTAAAAAACGAACCATTTTGAATGGGGCCGGATTTTTTTTTTAAAATTTTTTTTTTATAATGTGAGCCTTATTGTGATAATGTACTAATTATTACATAAAAATAGTTAGTACATTGGTCCATTTTTTAAGTATTCAAAGAATATTAACATCGGTATTATTTACATAATATAAATTAATTTAATTAGGATCAAATTTGAACACTAAATATAGATCATAATAACATCACTTGATTTTTTAAACCTTTTTTAATTAATTTTAACCATTTTGTAATATGCTTATAATTTGTATTACCCATTTTTCTTTAGATTTTAGTTCACAATTAATAAATAATGCTAACTAATTGGGTACGTTATACTGTTTTCGTACTTAATACTTCCCAACCCAATATTGTATGAGCTTTGTGGTAAAAATCTCCACAAAAAAATAAAGAGAAAACTACCAATTTAAGAGTGGACTTAACACCATCATTTTCTTCCCCTCTTCAATTAGTATAATTTAGTCTGACAAAGTCAAGAATGATCAAGTTCACGTTGTGTTTATGTCCGGGTAAGAGTAAAATACTACGAATATGTAATGTTTGGATGAAGACTACGCGGTAGAATACGTAAACTCTGTTACCAGTGAACATAAGAGGATGTCCTTTAGGTTTAGCTATTTTTATCAACTTGATTAATTATCAACCTTTTTCTCAAGTAACCCACTTCAGTTAAGTTCTTTATGATTTTATTTTTTACAAATTTTTTTGTAATAATAAGATGTAAGAAAGGGGGTGGGTATATGGTATTAACTTAATTTTATGCAAAAGTAAATTCTGGGTACTTAACTTTCTTCCTCCAAATTTCAGTCTTCAATTTTTTTCTTATTTTATTTTATTTTTTTGTGAGAAAAAGAAAACTACCATTTGATCCCTTGTTAAACTAATACCATTTGATCACTCCTCATCAAATACAATGTCTTGACAGGATGTGATAACTAAAAGTGGCCATTATTCAACCCAAAGAACTAAAACAAAAGTGACGATTATTATTTTAAAAAAACAACTTTGATATTGGGGATCTAAGGAGTAAAATAGTAAAAAAGATCTTTCTTTCCCTATCTTTTCTTAGTCCGACTTAGAATCTAGATCGTGCTGAACACGTCTGTCTGCGAGCATCTTCTTTGATCTCTCAAGAACGCCAAAGAAAATTGAACCCCCGATACCGATCCACAGTACCCGGGGCCCCATTCCCTTGAAGAAAACAAACCAAAATGAATGTATTTCAGATGTGTTATAACAGATGATGAATTTCTATCATAAAATCACAGATAGAACATAGAAAAAGGGTGTACCTTAAAAAGAGCAGAGGTGCCCTCCTCTTTGGCAATAGTACTAACACAATGGAGAATGCCTTCATATTGCTTCGCAGATCCCTGTAGTTATCCGAAAGATAGAGATAGCGCGATCAGTGAAAACAACTATCTTTCGTGCAAATTTGAAAGGTAATGATGGACAACAAAGAGGAGTAACTATCATTTCAGCCCCACCTGAACCATCAACCTAGTCTTTATGACATCTAGAGGCGTTGTTATGGCTCCAGTTATTGCACCTATTGATGATGACACAGGAATTCCAAGAAATGATCAGAAACAATCATGTTGTTGGCATGATGTTTTCTATTCGGACTGCAATTCCGTGCGATCATCAAGAGATCCACCTTATTGCATTACACATGAATAACAAGAAAGTCTCAGCAATGTGTTAACGTTTTAGGAGAGTGCAGTTACCAGCAAAAGCACCAATAAGAGCGGTCTCCGAATCCTTCAGATCTCTCTTAGCCTGCAAAAGAAGTATAAAACAACAAATCAAACTGGGCTCAACAGTTGGCAACACTGTGACTGGTAATATATGCCATATGGGTAACAAACATCTGTGAATGCCATCATGGTAGGAGCTCATTCAAGGTGATACTTGACAAGATAGACCAGCGAAGAATTGAATGAACATTCAAGACTTTAGACTTAAAATTTTGAACCTTTCAGCTTCAAAGTTGAACAAACCCAGTGAAACATCTATGCATCATTGCAGAAACTAGATCCTTGACCCTTGTAAAAGTTAAGCCGGTGCTCTACTTTCATAAGTTCCTGATTATCTACATTCTACTTACCACCTCTTATAGATTATCTTGATTGAATTCTCAACAAAACAGGAATACAACATAATAAAATAGAATGAAAATTACCGAAAATAATGAAGGATCAAGCATCTTGATTCCAATCAATTAACAAGAAATATTTTTCACTAACTTACTGCTAATTTGTACCCCATTCTGAGCTGCTCATATATGCAAAATTGTAAAGCATCGAAAGGTAAATCTCGCAACAGAAAGGACCCATATCCCTGGATTAAAAAAAAAAAATTCAAAGATACAGCAAACATTAAAAAATCTATACACACCCAAAAAAAAAAAAAAAAGAAGCGTATCAAAACACATGCAAAAGCTGCAGTTCTGAAACTTTGCCCTGATCAATCTACCAGTTGGGTAGAGCATTACGTACAGCATAAAGGCCTCTAAAGCCCTCCTTGGTTACAATACAGCGTACTGCATCTGGGGCAGAAGCAAAGTGCGACATTTGCATCCTTTGCTTAACAACCTGATAAGCAGTGCATTCATGGTAAGACTGGTGACCTCTAATCCCAAAATAATACAAAGTATCTTAAGTACCTCAGTGGGAACGCGAACGACAGAAGATGCAGCCCCACCAACAGCACCTGCAATCTGAAATAGGTCTTAAAATCCTTACACACATATAGCTTAGAGCTCAACAGAGTGACAGGCAGATAAATTTATTCTTTCATTTCTATTCTACTTTTTCTCATAAACCTATTTCATTTTTTTCTCACATGGTATGGGCACAATCAAAACTATTACAGCTCTCACTGAAGCAGCTTAATGAACTAACTCGTCCACAAAGGATTGAAACTAAAGCATTATCAGTGTTTTGGGTCACCAAACTACAATTAGAGAGAGAGCAACACAATAAGTAAGCCTTGATCTCAGAATATTGAGATGAACAAACAAAACTAATACTCTTTCTGAATAATTTTTACAAGTTTATGCAAATATGATTTGATTAAACAAAAAAAAAATTAATTGACAACAAAAATATTATCCATGAAGTTGAATACTATTTTCTTTATTCCACTTTAAATAAGAGATAAGCCATTCGACATAGGACTATAATCAACATTTCATAAAGTGAACACATTACAGGCTTTTTAATTTTTTTGGACGTAACTTGCCGTGCAAAACCACAAAAATGTGACAGCAGTCAGATAATCATACAACAAGTTGACAAATAAAGAAATTGGCACCAATCTTCATGTTTAGATTCGAACTAACCAATTGCGCCAGAACACTGAGATGTTCAGGGAAACTTTTCGTTAATATTTGCTTTGTAGGTTCATATACTCCAACAAATATTGCAGATGCCCTGCGAAAGAACAAATATTCAGATGTACTTTTCACCTCTAGCATTTCACTTAGAATGAAGTAACAATCGTAAGGTTAACTTCTACCAAAAGATAGTGCTCCAAGAACTACCATAAGTTCTACCTTCACTCGAGAATCACTCAGTGACATCAGAAACATCAAGCATGAAGTACCATTAATGCTATCTCTAAGAAGCATTGTAATAACAACGTAGGACTAGACCTGAAAATAATCTTCTATCATATCAGGTTCCAAGAACTCAGTTGAAACTGTAGCAAGTATTCCAGTATGATTGACAATAATAAACATCCGGACCTCCTTTGGGCAGCAGCAGATAACTACTATCAATGACACAAATATTTCTTCCCAGTTCATATATGTATACAAGCAAACTGTTGCTAGACCTCACTTATTTTCAATATATAAGTTTGATTGAAATGCCATTTCTTTAGACTTTGACATGTCCAATTACAACTAAGTAAAACTACCAGAGTAATCATGTAAAACTTATCAGCTCAGTACAGCAGAATTGCCAATTGTGCTGAAAAAGAATCAACAGTTGCTAATACTGTAATACTAATTGCAGACTTTAAACTTAAATACATTTGCTAGCAGAGTGACTCAAATGCATGCCTCTAACCAGTCGACAAGACTACTAAACCATAACATCATAAATCTGATCCGAAATGGAGAACCAATAATAACAATAAAAAAAAATTCTCATTAAGAACTTACGGTAAGACACCCGCAAGATTTCCAGCCAATCCTGAGTAAAGACCCCTCAGTACAATCTTTCCTCCACCACGAACTGCATGATGTCGAACCGTAAGAGGAACTTATACGGTCTCCAATCAAAAGAATGTCATTGCATTGAAACATGATGTATTGACTGAAATCCTATGACGTCTAGACCACTAGCATAATTTATCCACTGATTATCAAATGTAAATCGACGTGCATTTACTCATTGCTCACTCAAAAGTTTGCCAAACATAAGAAAGAACAAAACATACGGCAAACATATGCGCAATAATACCTGCTTGAAGTCTTGTTTTGATTGTGTCAATTGGGTATAAGACGGATTCTACAACACCACCAGCTGCTACTCCAGCTAAAGCTCCTTCTGCAATGACCACAAAGGAAAACGAAAATGATTAGAGAATACAATAAATCTACAATATGCAATCTACTCACTGTTTCTCAAGCATGAGAGTAAATGTGCTCACTTCCTATAGTCACATCCCTGCAGTCATTTGTGACCTCTCAGACATATTCACAGGCTGACTTTATCATAATCATCAAATGCCAAATGAACTCGTAGCAGAAGTAAACAGTTCTACTGCTTACGAGCCTTGTGGCATTCATAAGCTTTCTCAATTTGTACTCCGATGTACAACCAAATATGATAAAATACGTATTGACATATTTAACCCCCAGACATTGACATTGTCGCAAAGCATAAAAACGTACCACATAAGGAACGCATGAAATCAAATGGTTCATCTTCTTTAGTGATTGTTGTAGCTGTGCAGCTCATCCCACCTTGAGAACTACAAACTTTGAATTGCCCCAAATCTGCAGGAGATGTAATTTCTTAACTCCAAGTATAAAGGCATTACAAAGACACTTCTCCCCACAATGTTCTCCCAAAAAAACTAGAGAAACCAACCATTATATTCTTTAATGGAATCTTAAGACTGATATTTTAGCATTAAGGCAACAAATACACCCAAGTTCTTTTTCTTGTAGATACTAGTACCTCAAAGACATTTTCACAAAAAACCAAGCAAGACAATTCCGAGATCACATTCTTTCACCTCTCTTAACCAGAGTGTTTTTGAACTATACTACTCATTCTCATGATGCAGGGATGCTAGAGTTAACATACTTATAAGACTGGTTCATAAAATTAGCGGCTGTTTTGCTTGAATCAGGGTCAAGAACAAAAATTGAGATAAATCTTCTATGAAAACCAATTGATAAGCTTTGATTCCAGAAAATAAAAAATAAAAATCAACTACAGTCTATAACTATGCCTTCAGTGAGAATTCCAGAGTTAATCCACTTCAATTAAACACATTAATGATGAAAAAAAACTCGATACAACAAGTGCTAAGTAATCAATGATCAATATCACCAACAAAAGCTGAACTTATTGTTGATAATATCATATTCTGGAAAGAGACAACATGCATACAAAACACTTATTAAGTAAAGGATGCGCATTGGTAATAAGTTACCAGTTCTATCAGTCTTCGCATCGACCGCCATCTTCTTTTCTTAGGGAGCTGTAAAACGAAACAAATCATCAGCAATGCCCCGGAACGTGAAAAAAAAAATAAGAAAAAAAGAAGGAGAAAAATTAATGACAGTATGCTCTAATCGATATTCACAGCGGTGCCCATTATCTAACATGCATAGACTTCAAGATTAAAAGACAACCCATTAACAATCAGGCGATAAAAACTCTTGCTTTCCATCCAAACGTTCATGAAAACAATTGGGGGAAAACGAAAATTAAATATTTCTACCATTATCAGTTGTGGGGTGCAAATTGCATTTGAGTAAGAAATAGAGAGAGGCTGAAGAGAATTTACTTACCGACGAGATTGCCCCTCTTATCAAATGGGATTTGAGTGTGATGAGCAAAAGGGAAGTTATTGTGAAGATTGAAAAGACTTTTTGGTGATCAATTCTATGTGAAAGTGAGAGTGAAATTGACTGTTAGAGAGTTTTGAGGGAGAGAGGGAGGGAGGGCACTGATTTGAAGCATAGGTTTCAGTCAGGTGACAAAAGCCAAATCAGCATGTGACCTTTTTTTGGCTGTTTCTTTTTTTTAGGTTCTTCATTTTATAGTACTCATTATATTTTTGGAAAAACGTTGATAAGATTTTTTTTTTTTTGGTCAAATATTTTATTTGTTGAGGTGAAAGAAACTATGATTTGAAATGGAATTTTGTTTAAATGATATGAGGAAAAATTGTTGCTTGCCTATTTGTTTTTTCATTGAGAAGATTACGAAATGAAAAGTATGGTAAATTCAGTTTCTTTTCTTTTGTATAATTTCTTTTCTTTCTTTTTTTTTAATCTTCCTAGAAGCCAAGGCTTAAGAATTGAGTACATAGTAAAACCCTACTTGGTATATCTGTAGAGCCTGTTTTAAAAAACTTAGTGTTTAATAATCATTGTTTAATACTGAATTAGAAATGCTAAATTAATAAAATAATTTCGGAATAAATAATAAGCTAACTTTTATTGCTAATACTTTGTACTGCAATTTCAATATAACTTAATTAAGATGTTCATTTTTTTTCGTTATCAAACATGCTCAAATTAAAATGTATTTAATGAAATAATTTTAAACATTAAGTGGTGTTATTAGGCATGACCACGGTTCAGAACCGCCAGTTCACGGTTCAGGAAACAGATGAAGCTTAACCGGCCCTTAACTCTACGGTTACGGTTACGGTTTGTAAACTTCCGGTTAAGGTCCGGTTCTAAACCCTCCGGTTTGTACGGTTTTAATCCGATTTTTTTACGGTTTTAACCTAATTTTTATACAATTCTTTTGTGTTGTGTTTTTCAAAAAAAATTAAAAATTTCGTGTTTGGTTTTTAAAATAATTTATTCAAATCCTCAAAATATGTCTATTATGATGTATGATTGTTAGCCTAGCAAAAAAATTTAATACAAATTCTTTTAACTAAATTTTGGATAACTTCACATGTATTTTCTTGATTTTATAAATAATAAAAAAATAAATATATTAGGCAATATTTTAAATTTATTCAAAAAATGAATTATCATTACATTTTTTTTGAATATAAAAACAACAAAACATAATGTTAATAAAACAATAAAAATTACATACCTTGAGCACTACAATAGTAACAGGCTAATTATTAACAAATTAAAAAAACCCTATTTAATCCCTAATTAATTAGATCGACCACTTAATTTTAAGTATTTATTTGTTGAGACTCTATAAACCATATTCAAAACATAAGCGTAGTATGGAAAACAAATTAAAAAATTATTATTGGAAAACAAAATAGACATATAAATTGATACAACCACAAATTAGAAAATGGACATCTATTTTGAAAATGAGATAGTAATTAACATTTTTTTGTTTATAAAAACTAATATTTTTATACTTATTTTTTATGAAACCGACGGTTAGCCGGAGGTTTTTGACAGTTTGAACCGCCGATTTAAAACCGCCGATTTGAACCGCCAGTTTACGGTTTTTGGAAAGCTTGAACTGTAACCGGTCCTTGACTAGACGGTCCGGTAAAACTATAACCTCACGGTTCCAGCCCGGTTCATGAACCGATGGTCCGATTTCGGTTAAAACCTGAATCGTGATCATGCCTAGGTGTTATCAAACGGGCCCACACCCACTATATGTCTTTCTTCTTTTTTTTTCTTTTTTTTTTCTTTCATACTATATAGCAGGATGCGGATGCCCAACTTTCACTTTCACGTCAATGACCAAAAATTTCTTTGAGTTATTCCATATCATCTTTGAATTCTAATTTGAATTGTGGTTTTTCAGTTCTCTTGAACATGTACATTTTTTGTATTAAAGTTACTCATAGATCTTTAACACATTATTTGTACTCCTCGCCTCCTAAAATAATTATCTTAAAACTTATATAGTCTTGATATATTGGAAAATTATTTTATACGTACACTAAGTAACCTACCATTCTGTTGTTTCGAAATACTGCATAAAGTAAGTGTTCTAATATTAACAGAGATCAAATCACTCCATCCTCATTTTCGGAATCCTCATGAAAGAGAAGGGTCGGCCAACAATTTTGTTATACTTTGTAACGACCGGAGCAATTCCGGCGACAAGAACAGAGAGAAAATCAGAATTTCAGATTGAAGAAAAAGAGGATTAGGGTTTTAGGAGAGAGAAGAAGAAGAAAGAAGAAGTTCATAACTGTATTTTCATTCCAAAATGATTCAGATGTCGTTTATAGTATTGACTACTACCTATATAATCTGACCTGACTTTTGAAAATTATCAAATAGTCCCTGATCTATAAAACTATTATAATTATGCCCCAGTTCATGACAACTCCCCCTCCCTTACAACAGTCTTGTCCCAAGACTGTGATTACAAAAACTCTGGATTCCAAGAAAGAAATGGAAACTGAACAGACTCTGGCACAATTACTATTCTTCCTAAATGATTAGAAAGCAGAGAACTACAAGGGAATACAATGAAATTAATAACAAAAAGAAAAAACAGGAAATGAAAACCACTTGAAAGTCTTCAATGCTGACCCACCCACAAAGCAACAGTTCCCTTAGCTGATAACTTCCAGACTCACAAACTGGTGAAACTTGATCACTGCAACTCTTCTCACTGCCCGTAACAATCTCCAACGGTTAGGTCATTGAGATCCACCTGTTCACCATCTACTGTCCACAGAACTATCGGAGATAATTTCTTTAGCCATGTCCTCACATATTATCACATTAGCCTCTCCTAGCCTGCAATGGTGCCTAAGTTTGTATGGTTCACCACACTTATAGCAAAGCCGATTAGTTGTCCTGTATTGATATTCTTGAGGTGACATTTTCTTCACATATTTGTTACTAAAACCTTTATTTCCACTGGTCTTAGCCACATTACCATTTCTAGCTACTAGCACATTCTCTTTGTCCTCATTGCCTTTAACAGACTTACTAGCATTACTACTACTACCTCTAATACTAATATTGTTCCATGTACCATTCTGGTCCCTAAAATAGTTACAGAATTCCCAGTCCTCTGTATAGGACCATTATCATACTGAGAACTAGCATTAATCTGGCCAGTATCATTCCAGTTCTCTTTCAAAATCACTTCTAAATTTTGCTCCTGATAAAAAGCAATCTCAAATGCAAGAGTCCACGACTTAGGATTCCACATTCTAACAGTTGGTTTTAGCTCTTCCTTAAGGCCACCAATAAAACATGATATGTAATAAGTATCATCAAATTTATAGCCCTGAAACAGCAACCTAGACCTCAATTCTTCAAGTTTTTCTTGGTATTCAGTCACAGAGCCTATTTGCAACAATTTGCTGAATTCCTCAATGCAAGTCTGAGCTCTATTACCACCAAAAAGTTGAATTAAAAGCTCCAAAAAGTCTGACCAAGAAAGCTTACCAACAGAAGCCTTGATACATTGGTACCAAGTGTCCGCTTTGCCATCAAGGAAGAGTTCAATGGATTCCAGCTTTTCCCCCTCCAGAATACGGTGCAACTAAAAATATTTCCGGCATTTCCTCAACCACCCTTGAGGATCATCACCAGAGAATTCCCTCAAATCCAGACGCGGCTGTTGGTACCACATGTACCCTGTGCGGTCTCTTTGTCTAGGAACACCCTACTGGTTGTCAACCACTGCCTCCACAATGCCTATATCGACACTCTTGGTAGTTGGAATTGTTTGGGTTGGTTCCTTTCCTGCTTGCACCGTTTCACCAGTTTTGTCAGGATTTGACAGAATGCCATTTTGTGTCGTCGGCTTGGGTAGCACTCTCACTGAATTGGACGGAATTGTCACCATCTGAGTCTGAGTACCCACCGGAGATGCCTGAGATGTAGCTTCAACCGCCGGAGCTTTTTCTGGATCTCGAAATTGCTGATTGGACACCAATCCCATCAACTTGTCAATTCTTGCATCGCGGTCTTTTTTTTCCTTACGTGCTCTGGCATCACGTTCTTCCATAAGAGCTACCCACCTCTCCAATTTGGAGTTTTGATCTTGAAAGACGCGATCAATCTTGGAGTCTAAATCGGCCAGTCTGGAATCTAGGATTTTCAAACGGTTACTGACATCCCTGATCTGAGGCGCCGGATCTTTAATCGCATCCTCCATGAAGGTCCTCGATCTAGTCATGATGATAATTGCCGATTACAGAAATGATTCAAGAATTTGAAGGAGAATTCTGATCGAGATCGATTCGGAAAGGAAGAATCGAATTCAAGAAAACGAATCAAAGAAGGACATGATTCGGTCACTGAATCGAAGAATAAGTAGAGAATAGGATCGAATTCGACCAAGAAGAAATCGAGTTCGAAGAAGATTGAAGAAGAGAAAGCACAAATCGACAAAATCGATTTTCAAGAATGAAGAAGAAGAAAAGAATTCAGAGTAAGTGCTGAAGAATTGGAGAAGAACGGCCAAGAAACGTAAGCTCTGTGGCCAATTTGTCACGACCGGAGCAATTCTGGCGACAAGAACGGAGAGAAAATTTGAATTTCAGAGAGAAGAAAAAGAGGATTGCGGTTTCAGGAGAGAGAAGAAGAAGAAAGAAGAAGTTCAAAATTGTATTTTCATTCCAAAATGATTCACAATGTCGTTTACAGTATTGACTACTACTTATATTGTCCGACTTGACTTTCAAAAATTATCAAACAGTCCCTGAACTATAAAACTATTATAATTATGCCCCAGTTCATGACATACTTTGAATAATATGGAAGGTTCGAAATTGCCTTGACAAAGCCCAACAGAGACATCTTATCGGCCTAATGACTTTGTCCATGAATAGATTGTGGGCTCAGATAGTCATTGTCTAATTTCTTAATTAAATTACTAATACATTTTGGAGATTTAACTAAGAAAATGAAACCGTTTTGTTTTTTTTTTTTGTTTTTTTCTCTTGCACATAATAGAGAGTTCAACGTAATAACAATGACTAATTTATTTTTAAATTGTAAATACTACATCGAGCGGTGGAATAGCCAGCTAAGAGTTTCAAGATTGCTTCATTATAATGAGAAGAAGCTTTTTCACATATCAAATACATCAGCATGATATTCTTCAATTTTATTTTATTTTTTTCATAAATACTCTAAAATGCAAATTTTTGGAGTGACTTAAAAGGGAATTAAAATTTGTCAAGTCACTTGGGAAAGGACTTATCGACAGCATGGGGGCTTCCAATTTGATTCATTCCGGCGATTTCATATTTCATTCATTTCAAAATAAGAGTCATATTTGTTGAACTAAAATAATACTTACGAAAATTTTAACCTGAGTGGGAAAGAGTAAACAACTTTACTTTTTAACCGGAGGTCATGAAATGCTCAAACTTACAAATCTCCTTCCGAAACAATCATGATGGATCCTAGCGGAAGAACTAAGAGCAAAAGTTTCACCTTAGTTGAAACGCAAGAATTATGTTCCACTATGATCCTTCATCGTTTGTTCTTTCTTCTCCTTTTCTGAAAAGCAATTTCACGCACGCTTTACTTAGCTGTTGGAATATCCGTCCGAACAAATTCATTCCATTTTGTTGAACTAAATCTAGATTATTATTTTGGGACATAAAAAATACATAAAGAAAATAATTTTGCTTTGGTATTTTACACATTAGAGTAATAAATAATCCATAGACACTAACTCTTCAATGAATAGAAATTGTAGAACGTATCCTACGATATTGAGATATTTTTTAAGGCATACAATAAGCGTCTGGAAGTGATCATTTGGAAAAGAACAGCATCGTAATGCAAAAAAGTCTTGCAATTGAAGACGTTCAAACAACAAATAAGATATCATCTCTCCAAGAACGGTCCAAGTCGAACCAACATAGCCATGTGGACTTTTCATTGAGAAAAAAACAAAAAGTAAAAACCCTCACCATCCACAGAAAGCGAATATATATATATATATATATATATGTATAGTTTCATTCTGCCTATTATAGTCTCATTCTTTCGGAAAATAATAAACAAGACAATCAATTTGAAACGGAGAAAGAATTATCATTATATATATAGAGAGTTAGACATTAAACATTAATGAAATGGTTCCTTTTGTACTTGAATAATTGAAAGACAAATGCAGATCGAATTTGTTCCTCACTTTCTCATATTTGACCTTTTTCATTCCATCTAAAACTCCCTCCAAGCAACATATTCTTTTGCAATATTCCCATAATCTGCATTGTTGATTTGTTCTTTTTTTCAAAATGTAAAAAGAAATAAAAAAAAAAGTTACGCATATAATAATGTGTTATCTGTTGTATATCATGGGACGGAGAGAGTATGATATCTCTAAGCACAATTATGATAAAAAGAACGGTTACTAGCTAGTTTAAATAATTGTATTACAAACATATATAAGTGGCAAACAATGGTTGAAATAGTGGTCATGTAAATTGTAACGTGAATTAAAATTTGGAAATTAACTACTCTTTCGCATTATATTTAATTTATAAAATACAAAGTAGATTTATTCGGAGAGAGTATTAGCAAAATGAAATGGAATCTATACCAAACCCTATCTTTTCATTTCTCTGTTCTTAGTTCTTACTTAACTTCTAACATGTAAAAGTATCTCTTTTTACAAAGAGAAAGCGAAGTGGCTTTTCATTTTCCTCCAGAAACAAACCAGCTGATTTCCAACTTGCCCAAATTGATGTTTGAGGATAAGACTACAAAATATTGACCCATGCATTTATATTCTTTCCTTTCCATAATTAAAATCGGACAAAAAAGTTTTAAATAATTTTTGGTTGGGCAATGATTATAGAACGACAATATTGTACCGAGCTCGATTCATTATCATGTTATTTCAGGTGATAAGTTGCGAGTCCCAATACTACGTAACTTCAAAAAACAACTGTAAGCAAATTGTCACAAACGTGATATTCATAGGAGAAAATTTATTAGTCACAACCAAACAAAAAAGAAAATTAATTTCTGTTCTTTAGGAAAAAGACAATTAAAGATTAGTACTAAGATATATCTTACTCCCTCCGGTCCTTATTATTATAAGGCATTTTGATTTTATCATAGGCTTCATCTAGAATGTCTTTTTAATTGAAATAAAAACCTTAAAAACATTTCATAATAATTAGGAGAATACAACGAATGAGAAAATATATTTTTAAAGTTTTTTTTCTAATTAAAAAGATATCTTAGGTGAAACCTAAAACGACATCAAAATATCCTATAATAAGGATGGGAGGGAGTATTTACGAATAATTTCTTTTTTCTTGATAGATCCAATACCGTATCACGTCACTTTTTTATTTTCACTTGCCTGCCCAAAGTCGCGAGTGATGAAAGTCATCCCTAGATTTTCTTGTATATACATATGTCGACGAAGTCAAAGATCTTTAATACCTTTTGTAAGTACTTTTTCTAGAAGTTTAATGACTGAATTATTGTTTGTTATCCACTCTATCTCAAGAAAATGATCTACATTACATTTTAACTTTATATTATTTTTAGTATAAATTTCAAAATTCAATATATACTATTTTATTAGGATAGAGGGAGTAACATTTAAATACAAATTGTTAATTAAATTTAAAAACTATAGTTGCGAAAGAGTATTGTATTAAAAATAATAGCTATCTAAAAGTCAAACCAATCACAAAAGATGAGTCACACGTACTCTCTCCTGTCCTTATGATAAGGCATTTTGATTTTTCCTAAGTTTCATCTATTACATATTTTTAATTGATGAAAAAACCTTAAAAATATATTTTTACATTCGTCATGTTTTCTTGATTGTTATGAAATATTTTCAAGGTTTTTTCATCCATTAAAAATATGTATTAGGTTAAACCTAAAACAAATCAAAATGCCTTATATTAAGGACCAGAGAGAGTAATATTGTTTACTCGATAAGCTAGATGTTTTATACTACATCCGTCCCAAAAAAATAGTTCACATTGAGTTTTCAAATTTATACTAAAACTAGTATTGTATATGATGGGAAATTATTATGAGATATACACACAAAAAATCAATCACCAGTCCTTTCAAATAGACATTTTTTATTTGTAATAATATTGCCCAAACAAATTGCTTCATCATGTTTACTGTTTACTTATCTATTAAGCTAACTAATAAGTACTTACTCTGTCCCAAATTAATAGATTTTCAGAATTTTGGATAAGATCATAAGAAGAAGAGTATTCTAATTTGTAAGTCGAAGTTAAATGTGAAAGGGAAATTAGAATGATGTATAACAACACGTGGCACAAATCCGTCGGTCTGATGAGGTTTTTTTTTTCACAAATTCTATCCTTTTTATTACTTCCTGAGGTTAGTTAATGCCGTTTACTTCCGGTGTTCCAATTTTCGCGGCAAAAGACAATTGGTCCTACGCGTCAACTCCTGATTGGCTGTCACCCCCGCGCGGTTCGGCGTCTTGGACCGAATCCCGAAGTCAAAAAGTCCAACTTGATTCGCCGAATCCTTTTTAAAATTAATTTCCATACACACGCATATATCTTTTGCTAAAAACCCATAGAAAGAATCCTGTTTGTCTATATATATTATACCCATTTCTTGGAAATCTTTACTCCCAGTTCTTTCTCTTTTTGTTTTAAAAATTCCTTCTTTTGTTTTGTTAGCTCTCCAGTTTTTTTCTCGGTATGTTCTCCTGCAATTGTTTCGTTTTTATGCTTAATTTCATTTGATTTGATTTCATCTTGAATTTTGTTTTATAAAGATGTAATCTTTGCCCATTTGACCCCTTTTTGCAGAAAAGCTTTTGATTCTTCATCATTGTCGGTGTAAACTGTCAGTTTTCGATAAAGGGTCAGTTTTTTCCCGGTGAGTTTCTGATGATTCTTGGCCCTTTTCCTTTGAAAGGGAGTTTTTGATGAATTTCCCATTTCTTGAATTGGTGTGAAATGATCATTTTTTTTTCCCCGTTGTTCTTGAGATTGTTTAGGTGCTAAAGTTTGCTTCTTTTTTTTTTTTGATTGTGGGTTGTGAAGACAGGAGGTTATTGATTGTGATGGCGGTGAAGACTAATGGGATTGTTGAAGGGAGTATACCAGAGGAATTGTTGGAGTTACTGTTGACCTTGGCTTCATCTTGGGAAGATGTTACAGATGTGAATACCTTCAAGGTGATTCCTCTAAAGGGCGCCATGACTAATGAGGTATTCCGGATCATTTGGCCTACGAAAGGCAAAGATAATTTACGAACTGTTTTGGTTCGTGTTTATGGTGAAGGTGTTGACATGTTCTTCAACCGAGACGAAGAAATTCGGACTTTTGAGTGTATGTCAGAACACGGCTATGGTCCTAGGCTGCTCGGGCACTTTCCAGATGGCAGGATTGAAGAGTTTATTCATGCCAAGGTATGTTCAATTCTGTAATTGAGTGTTCTTGACTCTATTGTTGATTCAGTTTGGAACCAATTCAAGCTATGGTACTGAATGCTTTAGGATATGGGATTGATTCATTAAATCATGTTGTGAAGTAGTTGCAAGTGTCATTCGGGCTCTAATTATGTAGGATTTATTGTTCGTGACTCGAGAATTTGTCTGTATGATTATGGCAGCTTAATGTTTTGGATAGATTTAATTTCATGTGTGTGTGTTTAAACGGTGCCAAAGGGTTAAAGGACAGCGTTTAGCTGTGGAACAGGAAATGGTTATGAGAGATTTCCTTGAATCTTTGTGAACAGCAAATGGTTTAGAGGGCTATATCAATTGAACAGATTGATGATTGATTCTGTTAAAGGGCTATATCAGATTATGACTGTTTGAAGTTCTCTGACAATTTTTCTTGTGGTTTTAGACTCTGTCAGCTGCCGATCTTCGTGACCCTGAGACTTCGGCTCTGATTGCTGGCAAACTAAGAGAGTTCCATGAACTTGATATGCCTGGCTCGAAGAATGTGGCACTATGGGACAGATTGAGGTAAGATGCGCTCCCCCTACTCATTTTTTGTTTGTTAATGACCTGTTTCTATAATACTCTTTCTTTTTACCCATCAGAAACTGGCTATCCAAGGCAAAAAGTCTCTGTACTACTGAGCACGTGAAGGAATTCTGGCTGGACAAGTTGGAAAATGAAATCGATATGCTAGAAAAAGAGTGTTCTCAGGATGAACAGGAGATTGGATTTTGTCACAATGACCTGCAATATGGTAACATCATGATTGACGAAAGTACGAGATCAATTACTCTAATTGTAAGTGCCTAGTTCATTTGATGTTGTAAACCACAGATTTTTTCGTAATCCATTGAGTGCTTATAGGAATCTATCTCATTGATACTTGTGTCACATATCTTGAGCTTTCAACTGTGCAGGATTATGAGTATGCTAGTTACAATCCAATTGCCTATGACATTGCAAATCACTTCTGTGAGATGGCAGCAAACTATCACACGGACACACCACATATATTGGATTACAATGTATACCCTGGTAAGCCACTCCTAGCCTCCTAGAACTGTATCAAAATTTTATATGCCCTTGTTTAACATCAAATATGATGCCAAACTGGCCTGCATGAAATTGATGGGGATTTTGTCCTGTTCATTTTTACGTAAACAGATGTAGAGGAACGCCAAAGGTTTATTCGTGCTTATCTCAGCTCTGCAGGTTAGTTGACTTTACATTCTGACTTTGAGATGGCAAAGGTTGATATGAAAGTTATATCCACTTAAAACTCAGGCTCATGCTACTAACAAGGAAGCTTAATTTCACTGGTGTCTTGATATATACCTGGAAATAGCAAAAGAAAACTTCATGTTTTTTTCCTTTACTGTCACTCTTCCCTGGCAAATCTTGTCAAATTGTTTCTAGTTGTGATGGCTGATATATTTTGTGCAAATAATCGTCCAACTGCTAGAGAACTGAGTTAATGCTCATGTTGCTCCTCACCTTTGTATGCCCTATGGACCAGGGAGGAGTGGCATTGAGTGACTGTGATGTGATACCTAGGCATTTTGTTTGAATAGAATGATAGACCGGGAAGACATCTTAAAAACATCAGTGAAAAGAACTCATGTTTGGTGGGCTATCATTCTTGTTGGTATTTGTAATAATTCATTTTCAAGATTATGCTTCTGATATTTCTTTTTGTCCCTGAACTACTGCAGGCCAAGAACCCAGTGATGCTGAAGTTCAGCAGCTAGCTGAGGACATCGAGAAATACACTCTTGCAAACCATTTGTTTTGGGGACTATGGGGAATTATTTCGGTGAGCATGGCGTACACGTTAGGTTTTCAATGTCTTCCCTTGCTACACAAATAAAGTTTATTATACTGATTCAATCTTTGGATTTGCAGGCATATGTCAACAGTATTGACTTTGATTACATTGATTACGCAAGGCAAAGGTTGGAGCAGTATTGGTTGAAGAAGTCTAAGATATTAGGCATCTCCATGGACTCTTTGAATTTGAAGGGTCAAGCAACAGATGTAGAAAAATGAGTTCTCTTCCAGATTAGATTGTGCTTTGCCCTCCTCCTTTCTTACTGATTAGTGTCACATCTTTGTGTAGGCAGCATATAATATATATATAAATGTAATTTTAATATCAAATAGTTGTTGTTGTGTCATGTTCAGTTGACTCAAGAGAAAGAATTATCAATGAAATAGATATTTTGTTGTGGGGTTTCTGTACATAAATATAATCTCATCCACTCATTTTTCTAGTACTTCACAAACCACTGATAATGGTGGAAAGAGAAGAACTTTACCCTCCTTTTTGCTATATAAATGGCTTTCCTTTTCATCATTATTATTATTATTATGATCAATTTTGCTGTTCTTTGGTTTCTTTTGTAAAGGAAAGAAGGAATGAAAAAGCTCTTCATAAGGGCTGTTATTATACTGGTGAGCTTCGAAAAGAGGTGAAAATCATTCCGTTTGGAAAAAGATAGACTATATCCAGATTTGAAAAACACTGTTACATGTGGCCAGTCTATGAATACTCACTGTAAAATGAGGCAACTGAAGTCATAGAAGATGATGATTGCATATTTGAAGTCGTTGTTGAGCACTACATATTCAAATATTATACTTTTCCGTCCCAAAATTATTGTCCAATTTAGATTTTATCACGACTTTTCGTTGTATATCATCACTCCTTCGACCTGCTCTACCACAGGAATTGGACTCTGTGCACGTGCAAGGGCCAGATATACGCAATCACCACACTTTGGTCGTCCCTCCTTTTGGATGATCCTGTAGAATCCAGACCAAATTGATGCCCACTATTAATGAAAGAAAGCTGATTGGGGTCCTCTCACCATACTGATTCGTTTGCGCTAATTGACCGGCAATGATTCTTTGCGTTATTCTTCCTTTTTCCTTTTTAAGTAAATTGAAAATCAAAACAACCATTCAAACCACTGGCAATGAAGTTTTATGTATGAAAAGGAAATGATTTAAAAATGCTCCGTCAAAAAAGATCAAGTCCTACTACTAGAATATTATGGATGATAAAGAAGCTATCATTATTTCGATAGGCCAGCCATGGAACGAAGGTCATCCACTATGGAGTCTATAAGAGAATGAGAACCCTTTGTAGCTGCAAACAAGAGGTGTTTAGGAGCTTCAGCTCTGTCAAAATAGAACGCTCCAGATACAAGTTTCTCTTTCGGCTGCAATGCCAACCAGATTATAGTGTCTGCACCTTCCTCGCTAGTTCTAAGTTTTCCTGACATCCTGGAAACATATTTGAGATTCTGGAGTCAGCTTTATGAAAGTAGTAACACATCATTACAAGAGTAACCTAAATTTGAAAGAAAGACGTATCTTTGAGTTCAAAGGTTCCTTACGATTTTGAGAAACTGGGCAGACTAGTGGCTACTCCGGGAGTCTCTGCCCAACCAGGGTGCATTGCGTAGAAAGAAATCCCTTTCTCTTTGTAGGTTTCCGCCCACTTCTCTGTCAATGCAACCTAGACGAACAAGGAAACTGTCAATCTTGGATCAATGCTCGCACTGTTCTTCATTTTATTTTCCCAATTTTCAGTCTACAGATGACAACCACATTTCAACACACGGTTGCATGTTCATGTGAGTCTAAAGATGCTAACAACATTTAGAACATGATAGATTCTCCACTCACATAACTGGAGGAGGTCACATCAAAGACCGGCAATTGAAAAATATACGACTGCAGGAAGCATATCAAACAATTAAGTTACCAGAAGCACATATCAGTTCATTGTTAATGTGGTTCCTGTATGCGTAAAAGGCCAGTTTTGCTCTACTGAAAATTTATGAGAACAAAAGTAGAGTATAGAAACATAGATGAAGAGCATTTCAGTGGAGAGACCAGAGTCAATCACATTTGACAAAACTTAAAAGGTACGAAGTGATACTTGCAGACTATTTTTGATGATCAATAAGAGTTAGAAGTTCAACTGAATAAAGAAATGGTAATATAAAAAACTAACTGAAAGAGATTTATGAGCAAACATTGTCCATGTGATGCTCAAGAAGGTCAAATAACGAGCAACGTTTCTGGCACGAATGGGAGGAAATAAATGCAGTCTCCAACTTCACATGTCCAACAGAATACAGCATTCTTGAGATTGTGTTCTGATGTACAAAGAAGACAGAAACTCCTTTATGATATTATGAACCCCCTTCAGCAAATAGTTTCCAAACTACTTCAACTTTAAGCCGTACTTTGGATTCATGAATGTTGAATGAATGTTATGTATGGAATCCGGTCCTAAAAATAAAGGAGATAACATGCACAATGGAATCAAAGGAAGGCACATGATCGATAAGATCAAAGTGCATGAATTCTTTTGCATATTCAAAAATTGTTATCAATTGCCACGTAAATGTTCATGATTTACTAGAGTTATGGCTTCACATAAACAGGCCCAAGTTAAAAGCCTCCTTCAAGTAAAATGAAAGATTTCCCATGCAAATTTAATTTGATAAAGACTCTACTGCCCTAACAATACCTGAAGACGCTTGTTCCTAGCATATTGTTCCACGCCATTGAATGTCCCATTGCTAAACTGCAAAGACAATAAATTAGATCTTTCTTTCTTTTTTTTCTTTTTTTTTTGCAGATAAGCTATTAGATCAAATATACATGTCAAATAGAAAACAAGATTGCCATATTTCTTACTTGAAGATCTTTGGTCAAAGGGGCTGTATACATTCCACCAGAGGAAACTGTAATGACACGTGCATCTGGGGCTGCTTTCTCCAATAATGGTACCATCAGCTCTGTTGTAGTGTATGTACCGAGAGCATTAACAGCAAAGTTGAGCTCATATCTAAAGTACCACCAACAAAATGTATCAGAATCCAACAGAGATGAGAAGGAGCCTACTGCTTCATAGGAAATTCAAGTACCCTTCAGGTGTTGTCACACGGTTGTTTTCAAGCACACCAGCATTGTTAACCTTCACAAAGAAAAAAGTTCTTGGTCAAGCATCCATCGTGGACAAAGTATCTCGAGAACCTACGACTGATTTCGAATGAAGATTTAATGCTAAAGAATGATCACACAGATGGATTCAAAAACTGACTGTGTGGTGAACTACAATAAGAATCAAAGAGTCAAATGAATGACAAACTGCAACTCTGCCCAAGACAATCCAACATTGCTCTTCTGGAACGAGTACAGTACAATCATAAAAGAGTATTGTTGTCTCAGAAGAACAGTAGATTAAGAAAATGAGATATCTGAAAGAAAGAAAGAAGGAAATACCAGAACATGAACAGGTGCATCCTTGGAAGAAAATCTAGATGCAAATGCCTTGATGTCACTGATGGAAGAAATATCACAGACCTGCACACCATCATGCATCAGCCACTCACACTAAATAGCAAGAACTACCTTTGTGCAAATTTACTATCAACAACAGAACTATCTACCTCTAAGTAGACATTTTTATTCCCTGTCTTCTCCTGAATCTTGGAAAGTGCAGCTTCTCCCCTTTCCTTATTGCGGCATACCATGTAAACATTAGCCCCACTGAACATGCATCAGAAAAAGAGACATTTTGATGAATAACCCTCCCAAAAAGTATCTAACTTCGCAAATTAACACCACAAAGTGCTGCTCTAAAAAAAGCAAGGAAATGTAGGGTTCAAAATTCACCGTGATGCAAGACCCTCAGCAGTGGCATAGCCAATACCGGCATTCGCACCAGTGACAACACAGTTTTTGCCTTCAATTGGAGCTTGCATATCCTCTGCATTGAACTTCTTTGAATGTTCTCTGAATTCAAGCATTACCCAAGAAACACATATAAACAATCCCAGCAACTTGTAAACACAAACTTGTAAGAGCAATGCCGAATGTCAGAGAACAATCCCACCATAAAATCGAAAAAACCAGCTATATATAAAGGAGAATGTCTCCACTTCACCAAAGTAAAATCAACTGCCAAGCTTCATCACATGTTTATTGAAGAAGAAAAATCAAACCGGATTCATAAACCTACGACTGAAAACCAAAATGATCCTTTCTGAATGGAACCAAATTTGATCAATCGTGGCAAAAAAAAGAAAGAAACGGGTACTTACAAGTAACCAGCTTTGGTGAAATTCAAGTATCCATATAACCCAAAGGCAGTTGATCTCCATGTCTGCAAAACCATACAAACGGAAGAAAAAAAAAAGTGATATCAAAATACGAACAAATTAAAACAGAAATCAAGAGAAAAAGACGAAAACCCAAGAAGGGAAATGGGCAAAAAAAAAGTGTGAAGATGGGCTTACCTTGACGAGAAACATTATGCGATGCCACAAAATTTCAAAATGAAATAACAAATTCCCACGTTTTGGGAAGACCCAGAAAATAGAGAGTATATAGAGATTGGTGTCATCAGGGTTACTGAAGTCAAATAGTAAATCGTTGGGTTAATCCTCAACCACGTACACTTTGTTTAGAACAACCACGTTACCATTCTTTGCCAATGTCCTAATGTAATCAGTCTAAACAACTCATTTAAGGTTTGACCATTTTTATGTTCCCAGGAAGCATCCTCAACTTATCTTGATAATTGTATTTAGTGTAGCGCGATAATTGGGCCTTATATATAGTACTAGTGATGTCTGAATGCGCGACCCTGCCCCAGTCTATCTGTAGATCTTAGAAATATTTATATTTGAAAAAAAAATAAAATTTTGTGTTTGTAGCGATATATTTTAGAAATGTTTGAAGGATTTAGAAATGTTTTATAAGTGTGATCATAGAAATATTTGTATTTTACACACAAAAAAAAAAAAAAAGAAATTGTATTTCGCCATGTATGTTTTAGAAATGTTTTATAAGTGTTACTTATTAAATATAAATAGCCTTAATCGAATAAATGTGTTGAAAAATGTTAAATAAAATATAAAAGCATCCTAATAAATTTAAATATTAGTAAGATGATTTATTGATGTTCTCCATTGGTCGTGCCAAATCAATACTTAGTTTTGGAGATTTTTAATAGTTTTGTAATAAGTTTCATCCGAATGGTATACGCTTAAAACAAAGTTGACACTTTGTAACAAAAACCTAATTGATCAATTCAATTTAAAAAACCACTCTAGTTGAATGAAACATAAAGAAAAAATAAAATAAAAAAAAACGTGTCACGTAAAGTGGAAAGGGAAATTTAGTAATTTAGTTATGGTTAGACAAAAGGGCAATTTAGTACTTTCTTCATGCCACGTGGCAATCATATGAGGTGTTTGAAAGGGAGGTTTTTGTTTCTAATATAGTAGGATATAAGCGAATAATTCATTTTAGAGATCAGAAGTTTGAATATATAATAGATTGACTTATACATTATTTTGCCTTCAGAATAGAGTGAAAGCTGAAGAGATATCTGTGTATCTGATAAATGTACAATGTCTAAAGCTTAAAAATCACTGAGAATGCCAGGTTTGTCTTGACAAACGGATACATCTTATGCTTTACAAACTTCATTTTAGAGAATTGTTCGATTGCTGTCAGCATAAACTCTTCAGAAACAGTATATGTTCGCAAACGGAGTCTGAGAATTTGGATCTCGAAAAGTATGAGTGAGGGAAACTCAAAAACCATGCATAGATGGTATAATTTACAGAGCTGCATGGTCATTTGTAGTAGAGGGACAAAAGAATCGGGAATTCGGGGCTGATCTCTCTGCATAGAGGCTCATGATCCGACGAAGAAACTGATTACAAGGGAGCATGGAGAATTTACACTGAGGTACATAAACTCTACTGCACAAATGAAAGAATCAAAAGAATGTATAGTCTGGAAGGTTGAGTAAGGTTATATCCATAACTCAGCGAACAACCTTGGTTATACTCTCTTCTTATCTCTCCCAATAGGAGACATCCTGCATTTAGCAAACACAGAGTAGGAACATTTTCAGTTAACACGAATTTTTAACAGTCGAAAAGAACTGCTTTGAAATGCATAATATGCTTAAAGTAACAAGTCATGACCAGGAAGTCTGAAATCCTGTATGCAGCTTGGCGAATCGCATCCCCCGCACAACGACTCGGCTTACCATCAGAAATAGGTGCTCATTGAAAGAGAAACTAACATCCTTATTTAAGATTCTTATAGAAGGAGAAGCATTTCATAAGACGGAAAACTCACCACTCAAGATGCATAGATTAACTAACTATGTTGCAGAAGTTCGATGTCAAGTATAAGGAGAATGGATAATATGCAAGCTTGATAAGCTACATTACTCACCTCTCCAAATCTTAACCGGCTCATGCCACTATCAATACTTGTTTCTGTGATTATTGGCTCTTCTTCAATTTCAGCATCCGTAAACGTTAGGGCGCGTTGCAATTTCTTTTGAGAAAATACCTCAACTTCAACCATATAAGAAGCAGTCACTGGTTTGTGGTCTGAAAACTTGAGTTCACTCCTTCTGTAGCTTGTTAACCTCATTCCTTTCCCATAAGAGAGTACTCGATCACACCTGAAATTTCAAGGATCAAAAGTTTAAGGAATCAAATAAACTGTAATCATGATTCAGCCCAGTAAGTGGAAATTGCAAAATAATGGTTAATGGAGAATGCACCAAAGAGATTTAATCGCAAAGGCTCAGTTTCATACCAAGCAGGGGTCCTTCTGACTTTCGGATCATCTCCAACATATTTATCTGCATTCATCTCATATTTATAAGTTGGTGCAAAATTCAGTATACCTTCTGACCATCCATCAAATGCACGGCCTTTCCTCAGTTCTCTGATAAGCTGCCATACAATAAAGATGACGGCAACTATGAAATGTTGATACATATATCTAAAAGCAGATACTTTAAATAATATATCCACTGTAACTACTTGTAAAACCATATGAATGAGCTGATCTTAAAACATTTTATCTTTTACTTATTGATACAATACATGATCTAACTAGTGGTAGTAAGTAGTCCTGCTCTACCTTCTTTCTTTCACCATACCAGAGTGCTGTTATGTCTAGTTGGGTCTTTCATTTTTCCTATTCATATATTAGGTTTTTGCATAAATCTGAAAATAGATAATCATGTACATTTCCAGAAACAATAATCATTATGAAATGACAGAATTGGCTACACAGAAAACAGTAAAGTACACTGACAGTCAGAACAACACTAATGGAACTGTAGAATTGGGGATCACAACTATACTATTTTAGTCAGCATTATTTCTAGTGAATTCACACCAATTTGTTAGATGCATGTGAATGTAAACGATCTTACTGAATTAACTCATAATTATACTGCAAATGACTAAAAGTCCACCATTTCACTAAGGTTGTAAGACAAGAGCGAAAAATAGATAAATATAACTTGCCTGATCACTCTCTCTCAATTTGGACCAGTCCTTCTTGGAGATAAGCTCTTTCGTTTTCTCATAGGGCAAGTTGATACGATAATTAAGATCACCAAGCCAAATGACCCTCCTGCACCAAGAAAGCTTTAACTAACAGGAAAATTCTTTTAAGCAAATAGAAGAAAAAAACTTTTACAACTGGAAACATGTCATGGATATGAGGCAAGGTAGACACACTATAAGATGTGATTTAGGAGGAAATCTACGGCACCACAATCAATACCTACCATGAACATAAAAATAAAACTCTGTCTTATAGATAAAGCATAGTTCAGGCATTCTCATGACAAGCAACTGTAATATGGCACTGTTTACGAACAAATTTGATCGGTGCTAATCAAATATTCTTGACTAATTCTGAAGCATCCTATCTCTCTGCATTAAATTTTGAGAAGTAAAATGGATTTCCATTTTGAATGGAAACAAGATACAGCAATTTCTTTGGGCAATCATGACAGAGCTCAACTGAAATATCACTTTCCATGTGTCAGCAGACGAAGGTTTCAAAACTAGAAACTTGATTTTCAGAAGCCTCTGTAGCCAAGTTTCTGCTAAAATTATTACTTATATGCTCTTATGGTAAAGAGGGTACATGGCGTTATATTATCACCACTGACAAATCAGCAAAATGAACAATTTATCATTGAATACGTATGGATTTCCTCTCTCCATTGGGGAATGAAAAATGAAGCCTTTAGGATTATAGCCAATGTTGAGACAGTTTGAGCTCTGTGCTCCTTGGCTGATGAGTTACATAACCTTCTACCTTTCCAGTTGTAACTACTCAGACGAGGAGCTCCAATCTGTCATGAGATGGTTCGGAATGAAACGCTTTCCGGCAGAACGGAGGAAGTGGACTGTCAAAAATGTTTGGAGAATTAATCATTATGCAGAGGATGATTGCAACTGCTGCCTCTGATGCAATAGGAAAAAAGAGATTGGCATAGTTTTGTAGGAAAGGAAAGGAGAATAACTGACTGTCAAGTTTATTGAAGAATAAATTAAAAGGAATGGGTGGGATGGTATCCAAAAACCTTGACAGTAAAAGAAAATGGAACACCATCTTACGGTGGTTTAGAAGAGGGAGAAATGTGACATGATGAGCAGGGTAGAAAGAAACATATGTGATTTCCCAAATATTAGAGTAAGCTTCAACATTGCGTACAGAGTCAGTTATATTAATAAACACAGGCAACTTTACAAAACAAATGGCAGTATAGAACCCAAAGTCATTATACTCTATCAAACATGATCCATATCATTAAGTGTGACAAATATTTACACTAGTCGTCAACCGACGAAAACATCCTTTGAACCATGTTTTAACACTAGGAACTCCTCAAGGTAAGAGTTCTGTATCAACAAACAATCCAATATTCTGTTCTTCCATTATTTAGTGTAGGTTTGAAGACAACAGGTAACCTATATTCTGTCCTACTTCGATTGAAAAGACAGGACCTCATATTTAAAGGTACAGCAAAATAAATAGATCCCGACCAGCCTAGTTCCAAACAGAGGAAATGAAAGACAGCTAAAAAACACGGAGGTCTCCTGACCCAAGGTTGTAGAGCAGAAAAGTAGGAAAAAAACTCACAGAATAAAGCACAAAACTCACTCATGATCGTAGATGGTTCTGGGAAGTCCCATAACTGAAAGTGAATTAAAGTGTGTCCTCCGATGTATTTCTTGGACATCAGCATTTCTTTTGATTACATCAACCTCTCTCTCACCTGAGGTCAGGTGAGAGCAAATGAAACAAAAGAGTGTCTGATATATAGACATACTAACTGCTACTGATCCCTGAAAGATGAAAAAATTCATGAGACTTTGTGATTAAACAAGGATGTTCAACTAATATAAAAAAAAAAAAAGAATGATTTAACTTCTGTTTAGTAAGTTAAATGATTAGAAATCATTGTAACATCTTGAAAAAAGAGTCTAACTATGCATCCAGGAAAATATCAAGAACGACTAAGTTAATGCCCTCGTCTTAAGTCTCATAAGTAGCAACTGAATGCTACTATTACTGAAACATCCCATCTAACTGTTCTATGGTCTGCAGGGTGTTTCCACAGAAACTGAATTACACAAAGCAGAGCAGGCATCCGATGATTGAACTAGGGCTCGGCAACCGAAGCCTAAAACTACTTAATCCATGTACCGTAAGTTAAATTAAAAGCTTCAAACTAGTTTAATTTAGGCCCCGCAGAAAAGTACCATTGATATAAAGATATTAAAAGACAATGTATCTAAATCTAAACCTCAATCCTGCTTTTATGCCTAATAAAAACAATAGCATCCACTTGATATGGAATTCATTTCAAATAACAAATTTTTCTTTTCGTCTAAAGATGACATCCAGTACAGAATGTCTACTTTCACTATATTTCCTGAATACAATGAGTTCACAGAATCCAAAAAGCAGGACGTTGTTCCAAAGGGAATGAAGTTCACTCATTGTCAAACCAATTTTGGATACTCAGGGTGGACAATCTTGTAGTTTCTGTGGCAGTGGAGTTGGGACAGGGAGGAGAAATAGCCTTACTCTAACAGAAGCATATATCACCGCGTCATCTTAAGCAGCAGACTATTCCACAAAAGCTCTAGAAGTCGATGCCACTTCAGTTTTAGTTATATGGAAATTTGCAAGAAACAGTATATTTATAAGCAGTATTATCAGGATGGATGATCTGTAAGAAACTGTCAGCTTCCTAAAAGTAAGATCCTACCATATCCTATAGGAGCTGAAATGAAGACCAAGATTTATTAACCACTTGGATGATGAAGATTAACTTTATTAGTTTAGACAACGAATGCAGAACACATAACCACTTGGATTCTTAATTAGTTTAGACAACGAATGCAGAACACATAAGACATCTTGAAATGTGTTGCCTGAGTATTTATGGGGAAGAAGAGCAGAATAGTAATGAAATTATCCTGATATGCTTTGATGTTGGTGGAATCTATGACAGAAATTAGAAGTATTTACTCCTGAAAAGGGAAAAACAAAAACCAAAAAAAAAAACCCCAACAAAAAGGAAATATACCTTGTTACCAATGTATCCCATAGCACCCACACCAACAGTGGACACGTTTAAGTTTTGTATATGCTTCCTCAAATTTCTACGCACCCATATACTTACGAAAATACCAACCATTTGCTTGCTCACTATCCTCACATATTGGGGCCTTCTTTTACGCTTTATCAGGGATTCAAGGTCAAGGTCTGCAAGCAAAGATATGTCTGATTGTTGTCGATTTTCACCACTCATGCTGTACTTAAAAGAACTATAATGTTTGAAAGATTTGGCCCCCTTAAACGATTGGATAGATTTAAATGAATTAGGTCTTTCTAAAACATGCTGAGAGAGAAGATGTAATGGTGGTTCTGGCCAGCAAAAACCAATCTTTTCAGTTCCACTCAGAGTTTTGGTTAATCTTGGCTTTTGCATCAGAGTTGAATCTTCAGCAGTTTCTGCATAATCTTCTGTTCTCAAGCATTGCAATCGATCCAACCTCTTTGGGGAAGAAAACTGCCTTTGCAAGTCTTGTTCAGTGGACAACACCAATTTGTTATTGTGGCCGGAAACATCCACCTTCAGAACCTCATTTTCTCCAATGACTGGTTCAACCATTACTTCATTGAAACCACAGGATTCTTCATTCAGTGGATATATTTCCTCTTCACCCTCACTGTCGGATCCAAGTATGATCTCATCTCCTAAATCTGGGGCGTCTTCAGATGGTTTAAACTTTGAAGGAGAAGGAGGATCACTGAAGCATTTGAACTTAGTATCGGGGCGGATTTTATTAAGAGCTTCACGGATTATATTTTCCCATTTTGAAACAGGACGGACATCTTCAGCACCAAAAATATTCCCAGCATTCAGTGGTATAATCTCCTGAAAGCTAAAGAGGTCAAGGATGCAGTTAGGATGTCATTTATCTCATACATATTCAAATTATTATAATTTAAAAAGTTAAGTTTCATCCAAACATCATTTGCTCAAGAAAGAATGTCACTCTCATGGAAGTTGTTCTAATATGGTGGATAATAAAAACAAAATCTCCAAGAGAAAGAACGTAAGTGAACACGGTATCGTAAGAATATGAATCCGTATATTCAAAACTGAGGCAGATAAAGGGAAAAATGAAAATGGGAGAAAGGAGTTATGAATAACTTACCCAACCACATATATATCAGCAGGGTCATTAATATCAAGCCAACCATCTAGATCTAGGTCATCAGGCGGCATTCTTCCCGCAACATTCCATGTGCCAGCACATATTCTGTGAAGTAATATAGGTCGGGGGAGAAAGAAGACATCAGAACAAGCTTATACCGCATAATCAAGATTATTTACTCGTGATATTTTACAAGACATACTTGATTTCCTTTTTATTTATGTATTGTGCTCTAAAAGTCTCTGACTTGCGTCTTCTCAGCTGGGGAGCGGGTTCTGGAATATAGTCAACAATAACATATGGTTCTTTTAGCTAAGAAAAGAATTAAAAGAAGCAAAGACAACTGCAATAGCTTAGATGGGCAATCGGCAGATTTAATTATCAAAGTTAAATTTGCACCTAGAACAGGCTTTTGAACCCCTTTGAAGATATCAGTTCAACAGCCTTCAAGGAAATGAAGTTACATCAGAAGCTCTTCTGAACCTCTAATAGAAGGCTTAATCACAAGCGAATGCTTTTCATTAACATAAACAAAAACAAACTCTAATATGCAGTGTTCCTAAAATCTTTTATCAATTTATCAGTTCTATTCAGCAAGTAAAAACCGCAGTGATAATGAGATCAAGAACTCCACAAGCCAATTATTCAAAATCCAATACGTCAAGTATCAGGGGAAGAAAAAGAATAGAATCTTTGACCAGATGAATCATAAAGTCATGGGATTGTAGAATTGTTTAAAAGACTAATCTCACAAAGGCCTAAACTAACTTTTTAGCATGGAAACCTGTTACAACAGCACCAATGTGATTAAGAAAAGTAAAAACCCTTCTTCCTTCATATAAAAAAATATGATGAGAAAAAGTCCCAAAAGTCCATCCAACAAAAAGGCAAAACAAACAAGTAAAGATCTTAACTTTGAACAGTTCAGAATTCGTACCATTAACCTCATTGGTAATCCCTGCACCTCGATCATCCTTAAACCTTGATTCCCTTCTGGGTCTCTCAAAAAATTCTACATTTAAAACAGTTACAGTTTAAAAAAAAAAAACGGCAGGGCATAAGTTTAAAGTACTGAAACAGTCAGTAATTTGTATTAGCAGAAAAGTAAAACAAAATTAACAAAAACTAACCATCGTCGGAGAGATCGGAACCGGTATCGGACTCGGTATCGGCGCTGTAATCGGACTCTCGGGTGGGGAGATTAAGCCATTTACGCATAACGACCCGACCCCAAAAAAGCTGTAGGGAGGTGCAACCGAAACACAATAGTTCAGCCCAACTTTTCTGCAATTCTTCTTAAGTCATTCGAAAACACACAAACGAACCAACCCACAATAAATCTAAAGGCGCACACTTTTTTCACACACACACACACACACTAAGACTGAGAAGAAACTGAAGCAAAGTACCTGTCGCTGGCGGTGGGGATTTGAACTGTGGCTATGATGGCTAAGCCTCATATTTGCAATTGGAAAGACTAAAAATGAAGCCAAGAAAAATGAAATCAATAATGTCAGAAAGAAAGAAAGAAATGGAATGAATTGAGGGAGGATGATGAAGAATGATGGACTTTGAAGGGGAACATGACTTCAGGAAATGGCGCCTGCATTATAACAAACTCCAACGCTGTTTCATAATTAATTTTTACTTTTTTTTTTCAAAAAAAAAAAACAATAATAATGTGATTACTGTATTTCTTTTCTTTTTTAATGTAGAAGTATTATGTTTAGGAATTAGAATTGTTTGGTTGAGAGATTGGTCAGGCCCATTATTTAGGCAAAACTTATAAATTCATAAGCAAAAACGTGTTCAGAGTTGAATTGTTGGTTTTTTATTTTTATTTTTATTTTTCAATCTTGGAAGTCAAGATGAGATTGTTAGTTTATACTTAGTATATTGCAAACCAATTACTATGATATATGAACTCTACCTAATAATATCATTTCACCGATGAAATATGTCACGTTTAATTCAAGTAAATAATTTAATCCGGAGCTAGAACAATAATTTAATAAGAAATTGGAATTTGATACACAATTTAATCGGTTTGAAATGAAGTTTATGATATTTTTTTTCTTGTGTGTGATGTCCACTCTAATAATGTAACTGATAATTCATACATTTGATTTGATGTCTTATGAGATTTGTAGACTATTACATCATTCCATTACGACATTAAAATCTCTTTTTGGAATTCATCATCGTATTCCCAAACACTCTTAGAAGTTGTAATGAGGATACTTAAATATTAAAAGGGGAAAAAAAAAATAGAATGGAAAGTAAAGTCATTGTTGGGGCGGTGAACCAGACAGGCCCATTTTGGAGAAACTACACTGATTTGGTTTTGACCTTTTCGGCGGGCCATTTGGGCTTGAAAATGATCATATCGCACGGGTGAGATGTGGCTTAAGCGGTGGACGCGTGTACATGTGATTTTAATAATATGTTTCAGGGATTTTTTTTCTAAAAAAAATAAAAAAATAAAAAGGGAAATGCAGGCAAGTGCCAAATGTCTGAACTCTAAAAGAAGTATAATCAATTGCTGAAATTTGAAATGTCCTTTTCGGTCTATTAATGTCTGACTAGAAAGAGAAAAAGGAAGATTCAGGATAATCTTTACTCCAACTAAATTAGTGTTCTTGATCGACGGGAATGAAAGTGATTATTTGTATTTTTCTAATTTCATCCTTAATGATTTGAATGAAATTCAAGCTCCCACACTTACTAAGCTCATATTTGTTGGCAGGAACAACACTACATTATTAACCAAAAAAGAAAAGGAATAACGGAAAGAGCTGTCTCGAAATGATTTATTCAGATTGAGTTTTTCATTTTTTAGTACAATTCATACTGGACGTGAAAGTTCAAACAGGAAAATCAATTAGGAACACAAGAAATAGTATTCTCTCTATCATCTTTAATTTGGTAGGAATCGAACACAATTCTCTTCAATTTCTAAGGTTTTTACTGTTACTTTACGGCTCTTTCCGATTAACCTTCCTTGCGCAAGAGCCCTAAATTTTCTTACATCACTTCCCCTTATCAATTCATTTATCTTTTTTTTTTTTCCTTTTCTGTGGGGGATATCCGGAAAATGCAAATGCAAATGCAAAAGTTGGACTGTGCTGCTTACCTTCTTTATTTGGCAACCACAAGTTTTGGCCTTTGGGATAAGTTTTGGGGGTGTATAAACGTCGGATTCCAAAATCGGATTTGAAAACGTTTCTTTCTTTCTCCAACCACAAAAATCCCCCAGGGAGATATATATATATAGATATATATATATATATATATATATATATATATATATATATATAGTCAAATTCGTCGCACCTAAGCTGAGATAACATGGACAAAATCAGCTTTACAGATCGAAAGAAGTTTGATCAATATACCACTTTGGTTAGTAAATAAAAAAGCCAAACCCCAACTTGCAATAACTGAGAGACACTATTGCCTTAATTTATCCATCATATCTTAGATCACCATCGTTTGTATTTTACTGAGGTCCACAATTGACGCAACCTAATGCAAATTGTTCTTCCCATTTATGATTATGACTGCCAACATATTCTAAAATGACCAACACGGTTTGTACCCCGCGTAACAATTATTTCCTCCACAAGTATCCCGATTTCTACGCAATATTGTTATCTGTAGGAGTTATTTTATCTCCAAAATACATTAACGATCGGCTAGGAATTTTAGTAAAACCCCATGGCCGATACTGTGCTCATGGAAACAACAATTTAAGTACGTAGTTCATTCAATACCATAAAGAAAAGCCTAATTGGTCCGATAATTCACCATTGACTCCATTATATATGTCTGTCTTTAAACAAATGTATTGGAGACAATCTTTTTCCAGTGTTAAACAAGGAACAAAGTAAGTATAGAATCCAAGAGATTCCGTTGTTAATGGTTTTCTTTTCGCTTTGGAAGCTTGGATTTGGAACATTAAACATTATATAAATAGATGCTTAATGACTTAAGAAAAGTTCAAAGTAGATATACAACTTGATTCACCTTGTCACCATCTGACTAGTTTTACTTTACAAAAAGGTCACTATACTTTTGAAAAGTGTTTTTAAGTCAATCAGTCATCAAATCAAATGTTAAAAAAAAATAAAAATAAAAATAAAAATAAAAACTTAAGGAGTATTTGTTATTCGCAAAATAACACTGCTATTTTATAAAAATTCTACTTCTATCCAAAAAAAATAGTTTAAACTACGTTTTCATATCTGTTCTAAAACTAGCATAAATTTGAAAACTCAATGTGGACTATTTTTTTAGATAGATGAAATAATTATTAATAATTACTTTCTTTTTTTTTTTTTGGTACAACAATTACCTAGAATTGAATGATGTAAAAGTTCACTTCAATGGAGTTGTATCAAATTAATATAGTTTTCTCTGTTTGGCACTAATAAAACTTATTGGTCAAAAGGGATAATTTGTTCTCCTCCATATGGGAAAAGGCCACATCAACCATATCCTCTCTCTCTCTCTCTCTCGCTAACCTGCCGGCTGCCAGATCCTACAATAATTAACTCATTTCTAATTGTCCAATAATAATTAATCAACAAACCATATGCTGAGGAAAGTTGGCAACCTAAGTATAATTGTTAATCATTATATTTAGACAAAACCTGCCTATATATGCTGATAATGTCACATGTCACCGTCTTAATTTCCGGAGATTTCGATTTTCGAATGCATGTATTATGAGGAACAAAATAATTATTTTAAAACAGAAAGAATACGTATATTTAAATGAGTGATCCATCATTTTATTCAATGTACTGTATTATATGAGTATAACATTTTGCAGAATACTACTATATTCTAAAACTACAATCCAAATTGAAAAGTTTAATTAAATTATAAGGAGGACTGCATTGTTGGATTGGAGTGGACCTACATTTAACGGTGGGGAGATTTATATTTATACCGTAAATTGCAATGGATTCAATGTTTCGGTTGCAGTTTTTTTTAAATTTTATTTTCTTTTTTAGTGTAGGGATAATCAATGATTCCAATTAGCATTTAGCAGTTGTAATGAACTAGCCACAATTTTGATGCATGTTTCTTTGTGTTTACGCTTTCTTTTGTACCTAAAGGAGTCCGATGGAATCCATTTCGATAGTCAAGTATATTGTTATAGAACGAATTTGAATTTAAGAGAACAAAAATATTAAAATGAGATGGGAAATTTTTTTAATATTATCATATAAAAAAAATAGTATTAAAAATGAATTTTAGTTTTGCTGCTCAGTTCTTCACATTAATCAAATTAATACCGTTGACCACTGTTATCTTAGTCTAAACCCAAAGTATTAAGCACTACTCCGGTTGATCAATATCTAACCTAAAATCCTAATGTAAAATTATTGTCAGCCAAAAAAATGATGGTTGGGCTAACAAATGAAGTCACCACGGAGGCAAACAGCAAAACACCAATGAATTAATTAAATCTCTCAATTGAATTTGATGGGTCAAAACTCAAAAGGTACCAAATTTCTTTGAACCATGAAAACAAATGGACCACGTTAAAATAAAATAAAATAAAATAAAAAAGGTAGGAGGAGAGAAAAAAAACTCATCAAAACTTCAACCAAAATTCTGATACCGGAGTTTGATGTCTAAACTAACTTAATTAGCCATGAAACTCCTTCTCTCCCAGAGAAAGAATCTTGTTTGCTACGTTGAGTTTTTAGTTCAGCAAAGATATCTCTTAATTTTATTTTATTTTATTTATTTTTTGCATACATTTCGGCCATCTACTTTGATGAAACCTAAAACCAAAAAAGGCTCTATGATAACCCTCCATTTTATTATTATTATTATTATTATTTTTTCTGGAGCAGCATTAATTAAAAGAGAAAGTTGATTAAGATTGATCAATGAATCTGGAATCATATATAACTACGATTGAGAGAATATGAAAGACTCATTAAACATACCTTTTAGCTAGAAACTCAGACCCCTTTTAGCCTCCGGCTTGAGCACAACTTGGCGTTTCCTTTTTAAGACCGACACCTATGAGTGCCTTCGGTAATTAGCGCGCTACCGGCCTAATTACGCTGACGATGAATCTTCTTCTTCTTCTTCTTCCTGATCTTCTTGGCTGGTGGCGGTGGGGAAAGAAATCAGAATTCAGAAAACAAAAAACTGCCCGGAAAAGGAAGACAACTTTTTCTCTTTCTTTGAAAGTTAGAAACTAGAGAGTGATGAAAGGCACATGCATGGGGAATCCATCATCATCATTCAGACATACTACTATATATACTTCGTCTTATCCAATTATAAGATGCCGCGTTATGGAGACGGGTTTTTATTTCTCCCTTGATTAAACTATTGTTATTGACGGGCATTGGCTAAACCTACCATGTGGCTACAATTTTTTTGGGTTTATAAAACTTATTATAGCTCTATCACTATATGTGTTTTCTCTTTT